TTTAAAGTGGAGAGTTCTATAAATGTAATTAAGTTTACTTGTTCCCAATCTGAGTTCAAATCCTGGATATCGTTGTTAATTTTCTGTCTCATTGATCTGTCTAATATTGATGTTGAAGTCTCCCACTATTATTGTGTGGGAGTCTAAGTCTCTTTATAAGTCTTATATATCTGAGAATTCCTGTATTGGGTGCGTATATATTTAGGATCTTTAGCTCTTCTTGTTGCATTGATCCTTTTATCATTATGTAATATCCTTCTTTGCTTCTTTTGATCTTTGTTGCTTTAAAGCAACTCCTGCTTTTTATTTATTTATTTTTGCTCTCCATTTGGTTGGTAAATCTTTCTCCATCCCTTTGTTTTGAGTCTTTGTGTATCCTTGCATGTGAGATGGGTCTGGATGCAGCATACTGATGGGTTTTGGCTTTTTTTGCCTGTCTGTGTCTTTGGATTGGGGGATTTAGTTGATTTAAATTTAGAATTAATAATAATATATGTGAGTTTAATACTGCCATTTAATGTTAGCTGGCTGTTTTGCCTATTAGTTGATGTAAAGTCTTGATTATGCTGATGCTCTTTACTTTTTGGTATTTTTTAGAAAGGCTGATACTGGCTGTTCCTTTCTATGTGTAGTGCTTCTTTGAGAAGCTCTTGTAAAGCAGGCCTGGTGGTGATGAAATCTCTGAGTACTTGCTTGTTCACAAAAGATTTTATTTTTCCTTCACTTATGAAGCTTAGTTTGGCTGGATGTAAAATTCTGGGTTGAAAGTTCTTTTCTTTAAGGATGTTGAATATTGATCCCCACTCTCTTCTAGCTTGTAGGGTTTCTGCTGAGAGATCTGCTGTGAGTCTGATAGGCTTCGCTTTATGGGTAACCTGACATTTCTCTCTGGCTGCCCTCAGTATTTTCTCCTTCATTTCAACCCTGGTGAATCTGGCGATTATGTGCCTTGAGGTTGGTCTTCTTGAATATCTTTGTGGTGTTCTCTGTAGTACCTGGAGTTGAATATTGTCCTGCCTTGCTAGGTTGGGAAAGTTTTCCTGAATAATATCCTGAAGCGTATTTTCCAGCTTGGATTGATTCTCTTCGTCACATTCAGGTGCACCTATCAAGCGTAGATTAGGTCTTTTCACGTAGTCCCATGATTCTTGGAGACTTTGCTCGTTCCTTTTTATCCTTTTTTCTCTAATCTTGTCTTTTCGTTTTATTTCATTGAGTTGGTCTTCGACTTCTGATATCTTTTCTTCTGCTTGATGGATTTGGCTGTTAAAACTTGTGCACAGTTCGCGAAGTTCTCGTGTTTTTCAGCTCCATTAATTCACTTACATTCCTCTCTAAATTGTGTATTTTTGTTAACATTTTGTCAAACCTTTTTTCAAAGTTCTTAGTTTCTTTGCATTGGGTTAGAACAAGTTCTTTTAATTCACAGAAGTTTCTTATCATCCACCTTTTGAAGCCTGCGTCTGTTAATGGAACACTCTTTCTCCATCAGGCCTTGTTCCGTTGCTGATGAGGAACTGTGATTCCCCTGTAGAGGGAGACGCGTTCTGATTTTGGGTATTCTCAGCCTTTTTAGGCTGTTTTCTTCCCTTCTTTATAGATTTATCCATCTGTGGTCTTTATAATTACCGTTTTTATAACTGGGTTTCTGAATGGACGTCCAACTTGTTGATTCCCAGCGCTAAAATCTGAGCAACCCACTGCGCCAGCCAAAACAGCGGCGTTAAGATTGATGGTGCTTTTCTGACTCTGCACCAAGAACCGCCGCTCCAAGGCAGCGGCAAAACCACCTCGCCAGCCACAAGAGTCGCGCTGGTGACCCGTGGGGCTCCTCCACTGGGAGTCTCCTGGTGCGTGAGCAACAAAAATTTGTCTGAAAGTGTGGCGTCCTCTTGTTCTCTGCGCTTTCACTGGGAGCTACAATCCTGAGCTGCTAGTGATCAGCCATCTTGGATCTCTCTCCCAAAGTTACAGTTCTTAAAGGTAGTGGAGAAACTCAAAGCTTGACATAATCGAACAAGGTGACTGAAACGTTTCCTCATTATTCCTCCTGCTAACATTCCTTCCTATTGCCCCTGCGCAGTGGTTTGTGGATTGTTTATCTAAAGCTAAACAAGCTGCTTTCAGGGCTCCTTACTGGCATGGGCTCCTTTCTTTTTTTCTGAGACAGAGTCCCACTCTGTTTCCTGGGCTAGAGTGTAGCAACTCAATGCAACTTCCACCTCCTGGGTTCAAGTGATTCTCTTGCCTCAGCCTCCTGAATAGCTGGGATTACAGGCACCTGCCACCATGCCTGGCTAATTTTTGTATTTTCAGTAGAGACGGGGTTTCACCATGTTGGCCAGGCTGGTCTCGAACTCCTGACCTTATGATCCGCCTGCCTCAGCCTCCCAAAGTGCTGGGATTACAGGAGTGAGCCATGGAACCCGGCCGGGCTCCTTTCTAATTTGGGACTCCTAATGTTGTGTATTTCTTTAAAGAGATAACTCCAAACTGTACAAGCCTCAGGCCCCACAAAACCTGAATCTGTCCCTTTCGCCAAAGATCTTTCTCACCTATCTTACAGGTTCTCCATAGGTAGGTTCTTGACTTAGTGAGTTGACTGTATCTATATTTCTACAAGTCTTCTTTTCCATGATTTATCTTAGATATCTTTTTAGAAAAATCTGTTTTGCAAATAATAAAGTAACAACATAAATGATTCACTTAGAATCCCCCATAAAAGGTCATTCATGTTCATTCTGTGACCACATAATGTGATTGTCATTAATGTGGGTTCTTTTGGTCATCACTGTTTTTTTTTTTTTTTTTTTTTTCTCTCAGGCTGGAGTGCAGTGGTGCGTTCACAGCTCATTGCAGCCTTGAACTCCTGGGCTCAAGCAATCCTCCTACTTTCACCTCCCAAGTAGTTAGGACTACAGGTACGTGTGCCACCATGCCTGATTAACTTTCTTTTATTATTTTTTTTAGAGAAAGTGTCTCACTATACTACACAGGCTGGTCTCAAACTCCTGGCCTCAAGTGATCCTCCCACCTCAGCCTCTGGAGTACCTGGGATTACAAGTACAAGCTACTGGACCCAGCTCTAACTTTTTTGAAGCATTTTTATTTGGATAAAAATAATTAACTTTACAGAGACCTGCTTCTTGCAATGTTGTCCTATATTCGTCTCTTCAAAACATGTATGATGTGGCTACGTCACAGCATTCAGTTGACAGGCAGCAGGAAAGGGCAATAGCCTGGCATTTCGGTGACACCTGGAAGGATGACCCGGCTGTTGGTGCTTAGAGGCAGGTGAAGAATATTAAAGTGTCAGAGCCGCATCTGGCTGGTTCACCACTGTATGCTCAGTGCTTAGCATAAGGTCTGGCATCCGGTTAGGACTTAATTATTGACTAAATGACTACTACTGAACCTGCTGACCCCAATTTTATTTTGTAATGGTTTTGGGGCTATGGAACAACATCCTAGATAATAGAATTACCTTATTATTTTCCACAAAGAATCCTGACTAGTTAATTGATTAAACAAGTGTATATTGAGTGCCTACTATGACCGAACATAATAGGATCACTTGGGATTGAGAGAGAGCCAAAGGAAGAAAAATCTGGAGTGTGAGAAATTTCCCATCCCCATCCTAGGCCTGTACTTATGGCCTTAGATAAATAAGAATGGCTAGATGCAGTGGCTCACACCTGTAATCCCAGCACTTTTCGAGGCCGAGTGGGGCGGGTCACTTGAGGTGAGGAGTTTGAGAGAGACCAGCTTGGCCAACATGGCAAAACTCCATCTCTACTGAAAACACAAAAATTAGCCGGGTGTGGTGGCTGGTGCCTAATCCCAACTACTCAGGAGGCTGAGGCAGGAGAATTGCTTGAATCTGGGAAGTGGAAGGTTCAGTGAGCTGAGATTGCACCACTGCACTCCAGCCTGCATGACAGGGCGAGACTCTGTCTCAAAAAAAAAAAAAAGGAGAGGTTGAAAAAGACATAGCTTTATTTCATTTTTTTAGAAGAGCTGGAAAATAAAGAGAGATAACACTGGGGAAAAAGTACTAGTATTTAGAAAAGGCAGAAAATTAGAGCTGTCTATTGGCTTAAGTGACTCTGGAGGATTAGGACATCAAGCTCTTCTATCTCTATCTTAACATTCATGGGCAATATTCTTAGAGAGGTCACAACAGTATGTTGTCCTGAAGAGACAGTCATTTTAGGTTTCAGTTAACATAATATAATGCATGTCTTTCTCTAGGACGAGAACACCTGGGGACACTCCTTGGGGCCTGATGCGAGGCACAGGCGCAAAGTCACTTGAGAAGTTTGGCCCTGCGAAAGATGGAACCCAGCTTCTTCCTGGCCTGAGGCCAGTGCTACCAGGCAATAACATTTCCCAGCAAAACTAAATTAAACAAAATCCCAGAGTTGTTTTCCTTCAAATTATCTTTGATTTAATTTCTTCTTTTATATAAAAGACAACAAATTACATTTCAGAGAATAATGTTTAAGTTATAAGGTTCCCGTCAGAGCTATTTCACAATATGTGTTTACATAATCTGAAGTGAAGGCGGCAGTCGACTGTAAAACCAGCCAGCCAGGCCAGTTTGTGTGCATGTGGGGATTAATTTCACTTTGGATCACAAACTAATGTAACATTCTATTGTTTAGGTGTCAACTAGATTTGGATTTTGTTTTGGACATTTGAATGGAGATGAAATTGAGTTTAAAACAAAACAAAAAACACCACCGCCAGATTGTAAAAGCAATTACGTCAGTGCTTGGTAAAGAAAATATGTAACATCAATATTTTCTACTCTTATCGATGAGTTCAAACATTTGATGTTTTAAATATTGATATTTAAATAAGTCAAATCTTTGGTGAGAAAAATTTATACATTTTTCTGTTTGTACCACCCAATGTGTTACTAATTATTTGCCCTATCACTCCATTGTGCTTTGCTGTCCAAGATTTACAGAAGTGAATAATGCAGTGTGTTCAAAATGCAAAGAGAATAAGTAGCATACAGAAGCATTAAACTCGCCATAGAAAACTTATCTTAGAGGAAATTTACCAAACTAAAAACAAATACACTTAACCTACATGATAGCATTTGCTGGTGAAGGTACCAAACATTAAATATTGGGCAATTATTAGGAGGAACCTGAAAAGTGGCTCCTTGCTGCTTGACCACTAGGCTTCTTTTTATCAACCCTCCTTGAGGCTCCCAACTGAAAGAGATCTGTTTCTGTAATAGTCCTCAGCATAAATGCCTTGCATCAGTTAATTTTGTACACAGTTCCTTTATGAGATTAAAAGCTGATTTCAGATATGATGTCTTATACAGCTTCATCTCCTCCAAAGCAGTAGACAGAAAACTCTTTTACTTTTATAGTAGCTGCACTGCATTTGCAAAATGTACTTACTATAAAGTATTTCCCTTTAATATAGTCCCAATAAATTTATTCCTCACGCCAAAACATTTTTTTGGGTGTGATGATAAAATTGATTTTGGATGATCACCCACAGGTGTCAAACCTAATTTTTCTTGTCCTTTCTAGCTATCAGCAAATGACATATTCACATACAGGCTTTCTAAGGAAGAACCCTCTAAATAATCCATATTTTATTTTATAATAGCCTCAGTTGTGTGTTAAGCTAAATTCAAAAGTTAAGCATGAGAGCAAAAAGTGAAAGAAATTTAATTAGAAAATCCAAAGAGATGACAGCAAAGAAGGTCTAAAATTAGTTGTAATGTGATATGAATGACTTCATATCTCATCATTCTAATGTGTGGGCCAGGACATACACACTTACAAAGAGTTTTTCTGACCAAACCAAATAACAGGCCAAAAGAGTTGATCTCATGAAAAGAAACTTAAGAAGGCAAAGTCGGCCGGGCACGGTGGCTCACGCCTGTAATCCCAGCACTTTGGGAGGCCGAGGCGGGTGGATCACGAGGTCAAGAGATCGAGACCATCCTGGTCAACATGGTGAAACCCCGTCTCTACTAAAACTACAAAAAATTACCTGGGCATGGTGGCGCTTGCCTGTAATCCCAGCTACTCGGGAGGCTGAGGCAGGAGAATTGCCTGAACCCAGGAGGCCGAGGTTGCGGTGAGATCACGCCATTGCACTCCAGCCTGGGTAACAAGAGCGAAACTCTGTCTCAAAAAAAAAAAAAAAAAAGAAGGCAAAGTCATTCAGCATAAGTCTAATACAAGATTTTAGAAGTTCTAAATTATCAAGTCTTATTTTCTTTAATTTAAAAAATTTTTTTGAGACAAGGTGATCTTACCGTTTCACAGGCTGAAGTGCAGTGGCACAATCAGGGCTCATTGCATCCTTGATCTCCTGTGTTCAAGCAATCCTCTCATCTCAGCCTCCTGGGTAGCTAGGACTACAGCTTCGTGACACTGTGTCCAGCTAATTTTTTTTTTAATTTATTTTTTGTAGAGATAGGGTCTTACTATGTTGTCCTGACTGGTCTTGAACTCTTGGGCTCAACTGATCCCCCTACCTCAGTCTCCCAAGTGCTGGGATCACAGGCATGAACCAATGTGCTCACATCAAGTCTTTTTTTTTTTTTTGAGAAGGAGTCTTGCTCTGTCACCCAAGCTGGAGTAGACTGGCGCGATCCTGGCTCACTGCAACCTCTGCCTCCCGGGTTTAGGCGATTCTCCTGCCTCAGCCTCCCAAGCAGCTGGGATTACAGGTGAGCACCACCATGCCTGGCTAATTTTTGTATTTTTAGTAGAGATGGGTTTTCACTATGTTGGCCAGGCTGGTCTTGAACTCCTGACCACCTCAGGCGATCTGCCCACCTTGGCCTCCCAAAGTACTGGGATTACAAGCATGAGCCACCACACTTGGCCTCACATAAAACTTAAAGAAAACAGAAGCAAAGATCCACAGTCTTTTTTGCTAAATACCACATTCATTGTTTTATTCACTTAGTTCATTAAATGGACAAAAATACATCAAATGATTTTTTTCATGTGTTAAAACATTCAAGTACATTATTGAAAAGAGGCAATGAAAACTCTGTCTCAGCCTCTCAAAGAGCTGGGATGACAGGCATGAGCCACAGTGCCAAGCCCTGTTTCTAAAAACAAGGATAACTGGGGGTAAGCTAGGATTAAGCCTAGATCTCTCACAGAGCTGTCTATGTCTCTTTTGAATCCTATGTCTCTCAACTGAGTAAGATTCTGAAGTCATAAAGATTCAGGGGTTCTCAAGCACAGAGCCACTTTCTCCATTCGTTATACTCCTTTTCTTTCTTTTTTCTTTTTTTTACCTTGATACAAACCATCAATCTTACTCAGATTTTCCCAAATTTACTGTGTGTGTGTGTGTGTGTAGTTCTCATTATACTCCTTTTCTAAGAAAAATCCAGTGATCCAACTCCTACTGCAGAATTTTCCAATTAACTCCTATCAGCAATTTATGTGAACAAAAACTTTTGAGACTACTTCCATCAATGTAACTATGTTCAAAAGGTTATTATTCATAGCTGTAAATTAAGGTTTGTACTGATGAAATAACATCTGAGATTGACAATATTTCAGTGGAAAAGAAAAAAAAGAGATAGGTGAAGCGAATGCAGCCAAGTTTTATAATTACTAAATCTAGGGGATGGGCACGTGGGGCTCACCATATTACTCTACTTTTGAGTGGGCTTCAGAATTTTCATGAGACGTTTTATTAACACAAAAGAGTTTTAGGAAATACAGCTCATCATTAATATAGTTCTATGGCTTTATGAATAGAACAGAAAGCTTTGCTGAAAGAAATGAAAGCTGATCTTGAATCTGAGCTCCTTACCAGGTTTACAAAAACCATTTCTCTTTTTCAAAGGAAGGAAATAACATGAATCCATACACTATCCTGAGAGGTGAACATACAATATGTTTTTAAACTTTAGTTTAAAATTAGAGAAATCTAATTTTTTCAGAAAAGAAACATTACCATGTTGTATCCTGAGCTGGACACAGAGGCTGTATTACTTGAAAAATGTGAATTTGGATTCTAGTTAGTTCAGAAGAAAAAAGTGAAGAGTGTCAATTCCAAGGATCCAGATTCCTTAATCCTTTTCTCAGATTTAAGGAGTTGTTCTTATAAAGATTTAACCCGTACTATCAGAGGCAGGTGAACCAGCGCAACTCAGTCTTGAACAGGAGCTGAGTAAAATGAGGCTGACCTACTGGGCTGCATTCCCAGATAATTAAGGCATTCTAAGTCACAGGATGAGATAGGTAATCTGCACAAAATACAGATCATAAAGATCTTGCTGATAAAACAGGTTGCAGTCAAGAAGCTGGCTAAAACCCACCAAAACCAAGATGGCAATGAGAGTGACCTCTGGTCGTCCTCACTGCTACCCTCCCACCGGTGCCATGACAGTTTACAAATGCCATGGCAAGGTCAGGAAGTTAGCCTCTATGGTCTAAAAGGGGAGGCATGAATAATCCACCCCTTGATTTGCATATCATCAAGAAATAACCATAAAAATGGGCAACAAGCAGCCCTTGGGGCTGCTCTGTCTATGGAGTTGCTATTTTCATTCCTTTACTTTCCTAATAAGCTTGCTTTTACTTTCCTCTGTGGACTCGCCCTGAATTCTTTCTTGTGCAAGATCCAAGAACCCACTCTCCGGGTCTGGATCAGGACCCCTTTCCGGTAACAGTACCGCCAGTTACAGAAGTAGGCCAACGAAGGTCTCTTTCTGGAGGTCATACCTCAAACAAAATGAATCCTTTCCTGTGGTATAGAAACCACGTCCACCCCCATAGGACACAAGATATGGTGGGCTGAGGCCTCTTCCTGCCTGGCCCCTTCTCCGTTCACCTTCTCCCCCATGGCTCCTCTCTACTATGCTTTCCCCACTGGGTCTGTCATGACAGTCTATACTGGGATCTCAGGGATCCAAAAAGTGAAAGCAACCCCCGGAGTCTATGGGGACAATCATTCTTGTTCCTATGAAGAATCTGGCTTGGGGAACTGTAATTTTGATCTAAGTCACTGTTACTGGATTAGAAATAAAAGAGGAGTCAGACAGCAACAAATTCTCCTACTTTATTTTGTATACATTTCATGATCATGGGGACTACATTGACATTGCTTTTGTCTCACTTTTTCTTCAAATAAACATTAAAGACTCAGTTAAGAATGTACTCTATTAACACTGATACCATGAAAACATCTTTTAAAAAATGAGGTATTTGACTTACTGTCCCAAACAGTAGAGGTTTGGGCAAACTGCAGAAACGGTCTAGTAAGTAAGAAAATGAAAGTGAATACACTGAAACATAAAACAGAAGAAGGATTTGGCAATATGCTGCTGTGACACCCTGAGAATCTTTATTGCAGGCAAAATAAATCCACCACTTTTTATCTCTAAAAGCAAAACCAGCATGATTTCTTCCTAGGGCATACATTTCTATTCAGAAAAGATCACAGAATGAAGAGGGGAGTTAATATGAGAAAGTAAAGACACTAAGATCATTCTTTTTGCCCCTTTCCCCACCCCAATACAAAAATACTTATTAATGGGCCACTATTTCCCTTGCTTTCAAATTATCTTAGAAAACATTTAGAATTACACAACAGCAGCATTTACAAGTGTATTTATATAGAACTGTTGTCAAGGCTCAAAACACCATGAAAGCTCTTGAGAAAACAAACAGTTGAGGTATTTCACATAAAAAACTGAACAATCAGGTTAGCCACACCCAAAATGATGATGAAAACGTGAAAGATTAATTTAGGCCACGTCAGACGCTCTTCTTGGTGGAGGGAAATTATATAGATGAGTGATGGATATATGAATACAAAGGCCAGGCCGCATGCTGCTCCTGAGTATCTGCAAAATAAAAGCTTTTGGGGTTAATATTCATCTTTTACTTTGCTTTTTCTGATTTACAACTAAGGTCAACATAGCACAATTTAAATCTTCCTCAGTCTGATATCTCAAGAAACGTTATTTTTGATTCATTTGTTGTTGGCATAAAGCATTTGGGTTCCAAACTTTCTTTGCTTGCTAAGTTAATATAAAATATGATTTCCTGCTCATCTTTATAGCATCTGCTTGACAACGAGTTTTTATTCATCCCTCAAATCTCTGTAGTTCTCTGTGTTTGAGTGATTGTGGCTACTTCCTCAGAAACATCTGGAGCTAGGCCTCCTATCTTTGATCTTTTATAAACTAATTACTCATTCTGAGTTTTTGAGAGACCGTTAGCATCTGTTTAAGTATGAGAACAGACAGATACTTAGACATGAGACTGTGACAGAGAAATATGCACTTTCTTCTCCTTTTCTCTATACTTGGGTTTTCTTGAGGAACAGTTTAATAGGAACTTGTAAGCCCATTATATTCAATAAGCATCGGGTTTTCAATCTCCCCCTCTTGTTCCTTGTTACTTAGGTAACACTTAGGTAAGTATGTTAAAAAAAAAATGACTAATTCCTGCTGTGTATAGTAAGAGAAATCAGATCATTCTAAATCCCAATTTCCCATGATAATTTGAGGTACAACTTTATTCCTACTCTATTCATCCTGTCATGTTTTTAGAATAAGGATATTAAAGAAAGCCATCTTGGGTCTAAACTCTTACTTAAGCTCTTACTTTTTGACTACAATTAATACTGAAATATATTTTTGAGTGGAAATTGATGAAGGAACTTAGAATGGATTAAGGAAGCTTTGACAAATAAAGGATCTCCCAGGTACTCCCAAAAAGTTTACATATATTAAAAATAACTTTTTATTTTGGATAGAGAGAGGAAATAAAGTAGAAGATGATGAGAAAAAGAAAAAGAAAATGATGCCTGAGGCTAAGGGATAATTGGGCTTCTAGAGTGAGTTCTTCACCAGAACAAGCAGAAATGGAAGATAATGAGCATCTTAACTGACACCAAGAGGCTGCATTTGAATATTAGTAGTTTTAAATACTCATAGGAATTTCATACAATTAAATTAAAACAACAACAACAATGACAATGAGAAAGGCCTAAAAATAAAGACCAATATGCGTAAGGGCGCCATTCCCTTACAAGGCAGTACCTTATGATCCCGCCTATGTTTGGGTAGAAACAGGCCATGATCACTCCAGCTCCCACAACAATTAGATTAAGAATCAGCACGTGGAAAATGCTAGAAGTTGAGAAGAGAGTTTGGAGGAAAGAAAAAATATAAAAACAGGCAAATTATAACCACTAATATGAGAATACAGATCATTCTTAAATATTAAAATGTCTTAAGCTCAGTAAAATCACAGCAAAAATAGAAGGCAACAGTAGTCCCCAATTTTGGTAACAAGAAACTGAAATCAGCTCTTTTGTGCAATTATACTGGTTAAATTTTGTGGAAGCACACTGGTAGTGTGCATCAGAATTTACATTCTTTTATCTATGATTCCATTTGAAGTATCTTGAGAAATAATCCAAACAATGAAAATGCTATGAATATGAAGATATTTATGGAAAAAGAGAAGCATCTTGGACATAGTAAGGCAACAATTTACTTGATAGAATATGTTAAAAATTATTTAAAATAACGTCACTATTACCTTGTAAGGTAAAATACTACCTAGGCAATTCAGAAAAAAAGCCAGCTAGATTTTCATTACACAAGAAAACCCCAAAAAACATTTGAAAACAATATTAGAAGGACATACACGGAGAAGGCAGTAGTGATTCTGTTACAATTTGGGGTTTTGGATAATATTCCCTCTTTTCTATATTTAACAAACTTTTCATAAAGTGTTTAAATTACTTTTACATTAAAAAACACTATGTTAAGGGAAAGACAAAATGGGCAGGTTTTTATTTTGCAGATTTAACCACTTAAAGCTACTCACTACCATGTGCAGAATATTGACTAAATGCTTTAACTAGATATTAACAATTCAAGGTTTAGAAATGAATTTTGGACACAAAAAACACAATGTAGATGAAAATCTGATGCTGAAGAAATAACTCCATTTTCCCTGAGAATGATTCTCAAAAACCAAATGTACATTTCAAAGCAACCCTTTGGGCCCAAGTTATCAGAGGTTAATTAATCCCAGATAAAGATTACAGACAGAATTAAAAACAAAGAAAATTATTTATACAAATAAGTGGTTAGTCATATACCCTGATGAATTAGAAAGATAACAGGCTTACAGATCTTACTGTTTACCCAGAAACTTCTAACTTAAAATTGCATCAGAGCATTTGGGTTGGTTCCAAGTCTTTGCTACTGTAAACAGTGCCACAGTGAACATACATGTGCATGTGTGTTTATAATAGAATGATTTATAATCCTTTGGGTATATACCCAGTAATGGGATTGCTGGGTCAGGGAAAACCAAATGTCCATCAATGATAGACTGAATAAAGAAAATGTGGCACATATACACCATAGAATATTATGCAGCCATAAAAAAGGATGAGTTCATATCATTTGCAAGGTCATGGATGAAGGTGAAAACCATCATTCTCAGCAAACTGACACAAGAACAAAAAACCAAACACTGCATGTTCTCACTCATAAGTGGGCATTGAACGATGGGAACACATGGACACAGGGAGGGGAACATCACACACCAAGGCCTGTTGGCGGGTGGGGGGCTAGGGAGGGATAGCATTAGGAGAAATACCTAATGTAGATGACAGGGGGATGGATGCAGCAAACCACCATGGCATGTGTATACCTATGTAACAATCCTGCACGATCTGCATATGTACCCCAGAACTTAAAGTATAATAATTTTAAAAAAATTGCTTCAGAGCTTTGAGGTATTGGCTGGGCCTTTGTTATTTCCGTATTGTAAAAGGGAACAACTCTGTATACATAGATGGAGGCAGTTGTATCCATCTGTATTACTTTTCTAAAATTTTAATTAATTATTATTATTTTTCTAAGAGACAGGGTCTTGCTCTCTCATCCAGGCTGCAGTGCAGCAGTACAATCATGGCTCACTGAAGCCTTGAAATTCTGGGCTCAAGCCATACTCCTGCCTCAGCCTCCTGAGTAGCTGGGACTACAGGCATGTGTCACCATGCCCAGTTAACACCCATGTTTTCCATACTGTATTCTTTACTGACAAACACTCTCCAAAGAATAAAAAAGGTCCTTGATAAAGGAGTAAAACATTAATTTGGCTACATCTCATGCTTTGAATACATATCTTTTAAATATTCTGTGTGATCAAATAGGAAGGTCATAATAAAGCACATCTGCTGTGTACTGTAGTACAGTACACCGGAAGTCTTGAGGAAAAATACTTGTGTGGCTGAGATGGAGGGCAATCTAGTTGATTTGCCTACCAAATGCTATTTTTAATTGAACTGCAGTCAAACTGTAGTCATTCAAACTCAGGTGTTTCACAGACATTTTCCTGAAAATGAATGCTATGAGCTTGTCACTTCAAGGAAAAAAACTATCAGTATTTGTTGCCAAAGATAAAATTAAAGCTTGCAAGTACAAACTGGAATTCTGGAAAACATGCATTTGCTACTCTGAGCTCGAGTTTCCCCCTGTTTAAAGGCTCTTATGATAAAATTGGTGACACTATTAATGAAAATGGGTTTTGATATTGTAAAATAAAGTGTGTCAACATTTGGAAGATCCACAGAACTCACTGAACCAATATTTTCCAAATGATCAAACAGATGTTACAAAATCATGCATGCCTAAAAGATCCAAAGTGCAAGATAGGCCAACTGGTTTTCATGTAAACAAGTTTCAGATTCCACATCACAACTCCTAAGAAGTTACTATTTGTCAAGTTTTGGCATAGTATCAAAGAAGAATATCCACAATTATATGAAAAGGCTAATCAAAGTACTTTTTCTTGGCTGGGTGTGGTTGCTCACACCTGTAATCCCAGCACTTTGGGAGGCTGAGGTGGGCAGATCAAAAGGTCAGGACTTTGAGACCAGCCTAGCCAACATAATGAAACCCTGTTTCTACTAAAAATACACACACACACACACACACACACACACACACACACACACAAATTATTAGCTGGGTGTGGTAATGCATGCCTGTAGTCCCAGCTACTCTGGGGACTGAGGCAGGAGAATCACTTGAACCTGGGAGCCAGAGGTTGCAGTGAGCCGAGATCATGCCACTGCACTCTAGCCTGGGTGACAGAGTAAGACGCTGTCCAAAAGAAAAAAAAAAGTATTCTTTTTCTAACTATCTATCTGAGGCTGGATTTTCTTGACAAATCTAAATGAAAACAGCATGTTATAACACTGAATGCGGAAATAGAAGAATCTAATTGTCTACAAGTAAAGCAGACATTAAATAGAGGTTTGCAAACATAAATTAAAAAAATTTTTAAAGTAGTTATTTTTATTTTTTTTTACTTTTAATTTTGGTGGGTACATAGTAGGTGTATATATTTATGGGGTACATAAGATGTTTTCATACAGGCATGCAATACATAATAATCATATCCTGGAGACTGGGGTGTCCATCCCCTGAAAGTGGCTGTTTTTTATAAAAATGTTATTTGTGTTAACAAGTAATAGTTTTATTATTGATTTTAAAGAAATTAAAAATACGTTAAATTCTGTTTTTCAATATTTAAATACTGATAGCTATACCTGCATAAACAAAAGATCCTGGAGTCCTCAATACATTTTTCAGAGTATGAAGAGGTCCTGAGACCAAAAATTATGCTCCAAAGTATGCACACTCTATAGAGTGCTTATAACCAGAAGATAAATGAAAACAACAGTGTGTTCTTGCTGGTAAGGGAAGAACTCTAATGTGAACACAAAAGGGAAATCTCTGACTTTTTCCAAGAAGAAAAAATATTCTTGTAAAGAATACAGAATTTAAAGTATTTTGTAAAGATAGCCACAATTCTACAAAATAATGGCAGAAAACAGGAATAGTGTATTTGCTTAGCATTTTTCATCTATAAGTTCATTGTATTTATTTTCTTTGGTGAATTATAAATACAGCAGAATAGAAACACAACCAGAGGCTTATACTTACTGAGCTCCAATCTTCAGGATGATAACATTAGAACTGTAGCTGCTGTTGTACTTGTCAGTCCTTGAGACCTGGTAACTCGACTTTTGCTTTGTTTTTGAAACCAACATATTTATGGCTAAAATTAGTTACTGAAGAAGCAGACTACATCAGTTCATTTTAAACTAGAACTGATTAAGACCACTTGTTTAGTTGGTTACTGTAAATGTAATTTTTTCCAAATTTATTCAAAAGTTATCTTTATTTAAAAGAACTTATTCCTAATAAAAGTAGACTAGGTTCTTTTCACTAGGATGAACCTATAATAAAACTTAATATAAGAGTAGGAGTTAACCAAGGGTCCACAAGAAGGCTGCAGGGAAACTGTGAAGTGACATGTAGAAATTTCTCTTGGATGAGGGTAACCAGCTTTGAACAGATTTTCAAAAGAACTCACAACTCCTTCATCCCCAATAAGAAGTTAAAAATTATAGCAGTAATTTAAGCTTGTTATATATCAAATAAAAATCATATATCTGATCTTCAGCTCTAAACAGTTGGTCATTTATGTAAAACTGAATAAATGTTAACGAATGTACAGTATAAGTAAGCATTGTTGGACTCAGAAAACCATACCCAAAAATGAAAGCCTCAGAAACAAAAGTTTTGCTCTGACTTTCTGAATCTCAGTCGCATTCTCCCCAAGCGAGCTTAGAAACTAGAATCCCTCTTCCCTAAGGTGGAACATAGAAACCTTTTCCCCCAAACTGGCCTTTTCCTCCAAGCTGGCCATCTAATCTCCCTCTATTTCTGTGTAAAAACTAGCCATAAAGAAATGGTCTGACCTGTCTTGTTTGACTGCAGGTCATAAGACTCCCATTCCATAGAGGGTTCTGCCCCAGGCTCGGATGAAAAAAACATATGCTCAGAGAGGCCAAGAATCTAGACAGAGGGGCCTTGCTGGGTTTCCCCTCTCAGTCTATTAGCATTACACATGGCTGTCCACATAAACCTAACCATAAAAATGGATAATTTCCCCTGTATTTTGGGGTCTTCATTCTAAAGGCTCCCATGTAAAACCACATTCAAATACATTTATATGCCTTCTTTCCTCTTTTTTTTTTTTTTTTTTTCTTTTGGAGAGAGAGTCTCACTGTATCAGTGAGCAATGGCGTGATCTTGGCTCACTGCAGCCTCAGTCTCCTGGGTTCAGGTGATCCTCCTCCTCCCACCTCAGCCTCCTGAGTAACCGGACTATAAGCATGTCCCGCCATGCTCAGCTAATTTTTGAAAACTTTGTAGAAATGGGGTTTCACTATGCTGTCCAGCTTGGTCTTGAACTCCTGGGCTTAAGCAATCCTCCTGCCTTGGCCTCTGAAAGTGCTAGGATGACAGGCATGAGCTACTGAGCCTGGCCCTTTTTGCCTATTAATTTGCCTTTTGTCAGTCATTTTCAGCAAACCTTCAGAGGGCAAAGGGCAAGTTTTCCCTGGGTCCTGATAGTGATATTTAATGATTTCAATGACCAATAATTAAAATAAAAGTGTTGCCTCTCATTAGCCAGACATTGCCAACGTATGTACTATACACTAGAAACTTCTTGGCAATGTGTAAATCAATAGCAATTAAATGATAAGATAAATATAAATGATATCAGAGCTAATTAAATATACTAGAAGGAATAAACTTTAAATCATTCTAGACAAGGGAGTGGCTTCTATTTTTAAAGCTCTTCAGGGAAGAGGACACCAATGATCTATCTTTAGTCACCACATTCATTAGGCATTTTTATAGCAAAAGGATCAGTCACACTTAAACTGACCTGCTTGCACAGTCATTTGTTGCTTGGCACATCTTGCTGGTCAAGAGAAGAGCCCTTACCTAGGATAAATGTCACCGAAGATATGGCCCAAAAGCTGGACACGAGCCAGGTAGCCTAAGAGTGGGTATACAGTCATCATCTGGAACAGCAGGAATATCCTTGCAATGAAGGACAGGGTGTCACTGCTAGGGAAGTTGTCTAAAAAATTCTAATCCAAGAAAGATAATGAGGTCATGTTACAAATCAAATTCAGTACACACACATTCATAAAATGGAATGTCTTCTGTTTATTTTGAACACAGGCACAGGTGCTACTCCAGTTGTGGTTTGTGGACTAGTGCCCATCCACAACTACTTGTTAAGTATTTTTTCAATGAGGTAAGTATATAAATTGAAAGTGTTTAGAAACTTTTACAGAAATCTGACATTGCCACAATTTTATTCTATTTTACAAAAGTCTCAGTCTGCAATATGACATTAAGGCAACAACAAAGACAATTTTGTCCATCACCACACAGACAGATGGAGAAAGCACTGCTCTATATGGTTCAAGCAAAACACCAAAGTCTGTTTTAAAGATTTAAAGAGCTAATTTAATTCAATGTTATTTTACCCTCTCTGGCTCTCTTGCTTTCCTCCTCTAAAGCACTGCAAGCACTTTTGAAGTAAAGATGACAGAATAAGGTGAGAGTACGTCTATCACCTACTACATCATTGTTTAGTCTATCACTAAATTGAAAAGGATTTATCTCTACTTCCTTTCATGACCCTTTTCTCCATTTTGGTTTGGTATCTTAAAGTTAATTACTCAGAATTTTAATTTTTTCTTTCAAATAAAAATACCACAAATATCCCTATTCCCAAGGGAGTAGACTTTGTATGAGTTTGTTCATATCAGGGAAATTTTCAGCAAACATTTGGTTGCCAAAGAACTTCTGGAGTCAAGGAAATCAAGGGAATAAAAACATTTCCAAGCTGCCGTAATAGTAGTAATTCAAACTTATTTCTCTTTTAAAGATGAGAACACTATTAACACGATTCTGCTGAAATAACCATTATAATTCAGCTGTAATAAATCACATTGTACACTCCATTGCACTCTATTAGAGGAATTTCTTCTGACCAGAAAGTCACTTGTGAAATGTTTTTTGTGGGAAATTCTTCAGTCACATATAACTAACGACTATACTATTGCTAAGTTTTTGATGGGTTAAATCAAAGAAAATATTACTTATGGCAATCTTTTACTAAAATATTTTTTTCTTTTACTCTGTCTCTTTTTTCTTTTTAACCCTCTGGTAACTCATAGAACATCTCTCTCTCTTTTTTTAACAGTCAAATACTCTTTTTTTGTTCTGTTGCCTGTCACTCAGTGTAAGAATGAGAGTCTGATTAATCCTTAGGGTCTGATTAAACTAAGACTCTAGTTTATCCGAGGGCATTTCCGATGTGGGTTTTGGAAAATAGGGAGTGCAATGTATTCTCCGTGGAGGTTTTATAACTACGTGAGAACTACTTTTAACAGTTCCCCGCAAAAAGAGAAATATATGTACATAATAGAAGTCACTTATTTGAGTACCACAAGATGCCTAGCATGCAGTACATTATCTCAGAGTCCATCTAAAAATCAAATGGGGTACTTATTATACTATTTAACGGAAAAGAAAAATAAAGCTTAGAAAGAAAAGGGAAGGTGCCTAAGTTTGCATTCTTGGAGTAGATAGCAGAGATGGTATTAAAACCCAGGTCTATCTGATGTTATATCTTGCCACTGTATCACCCTGCCTACTATAAATACATGAAGGTATACACAATCACACAGAGAGAGTACACAGTGCCTTACCTGCTCAATACAATCTTTGGATAATGGAGGCGAAGGAAATGAAGCAAAAACCAGGACTCCAATATAGAGATAAGTTAATGTCACCAGCATATAAGCAATGCACAGGTCCCTCACCTGTAAATACAGAGCAAAAGTCCCATAATATTGAAGACCTTGAGGTAAGTCTACCTGAATAGGCTAAGAAGATTCACAAATAAATACAAAAATCGTCTTTTTACCTCATGTATGTGTGTATATTTCTAGATATTCAATCTGTTCATAGAAAGTAGTTAAAACAAAATCCACACACTTTACAATTAGTCTGCCAATTTTTTTTTAAAAAGTAGTCTGAAGTATGTAGACTAAGCTACCTGTTGGCAGACTTAGAAGTTAACATAAACAGTGGTTTAACATGACTGAAATTTTGAATTAATTTCAAAAGGTGATTTAGTTACCAAATTATAAAATATTTAACTACAATAATAAAGCTGAGGAACAACAAGAAAGTAAGCATGAGCCACTTCAGTATGGTCTGCAACATTTTAAAATTCTTCCTTTGGTAAATTAACTTACATCATTAAAACATGCCTAGTGCGCAGCAAAGAACATATTATAATATATTTAATAAATAAAGCTAGTTAAAGAACAGACAACAAGCAGTATTAAAGACAAGCTTAATAAACCTAAACAGTAAACAAAAGGAAATCAAAAGGCAGCTGTTCCAACAGCTGCACAATGTTACAGGAATCAGCAAACAAATACAGAACATTAAATAAAGTGGACTGCTTTCTTCTACTGCGGTTCCCACCCTTCCAACCTCCCATCTCCATGCAAAGTAAAAAGCTCCAAGATATTTAATGTAGCCAGCTGTCCAATCCAAACAGAACAGACTCCCCAGCTCAAAAATCTGGTCTTCATCACCACTAAAGTATTAGCCAAACAATTCATCACAACTAAATTATGGCAATAAGCCTATTTATTTTTCACTTTAAACAAAAATAACTTTGAAAGCCAAGGAAACAAATTAGAAAAAAAATAAAAACATTTGATAGCATAATAAGAAAACTGGACATTTGGTATTAGAAAACATTTCTGACTTTTTGGATTACTTTCTTCCTTAAATGGGCTAAAGTAGTAGAGTTTTATAAATTTGAATGTTGATAAATGCAGTTAAAAAGTAAGTGACAAGTTTTGAGAAATCTTAAGGTCAGGTCTAAATTGACAATCAGCTTGAAAGCAAATCAGGGATTTAAAACCCCAAATTAGATGGTGGATAAGCCCATGGAGCTAAAGCCTTATGCAGATTGGTTCCAGCCCTCTCAAAATGCTTCTAATGGTTTAGGAATGAGGAAGAGGATGACCAGACCTCCAGGGGGGTTTTCAAAATCATTCTTTAGTTCATGAAGCTGTAGGTCTGACGGGAAGCCAGACTTCAGTCATCCCTAGGGTTGCCTCAGGATCTTGTGTGGGATGAACAGCAATGAACCAAGCCAAATAAACTTTTTCATCAAAGAGCAGTAGTTTCCCATTATGTTGTCTGAACGTCATTCTACACTCAACTTACTCAATGCCACTCAAGAACAGAGGTAGCCTTGTAAAAAAATCTTGGGAGGCATAGCAGCTGTGCCTAAGACAGCTCTGTAGGGATAGCCACCATTCCATAGACAGTTTTCAGCTTATCTGCTACCTGATCACCACATTATTTTGGTCTAACTTCTTGCAAAGAATCATACTTTGGGGGAAATCTAATGAAGATGTAAAGGCTATGGTGCAGGGTTTCCAATAAGAGTTTTCCCCTCTGCTTCTCTGTTCTCATTGCACTATATACATGTCTCAAATATAGCAACTATTCCATTGTACTGATAGTCATTAATTTTTATTATAAAAGTAATCCACATGCATGATATATAGAATTTCAAGTGCAGATAAAATGTCCCTTGACATTCCTAAAATAGCCAAGGTTAATAGTTTGGTATCATGTTGGTTTTTAAATTTTTCTCTAAATGTGTCTGTACCACAAGACTCCGGGATTCTCAGGACAGGGACCATGTCTTTTTCTTCTTTATTATCCTCAATATCCAGGACCACACCTGGTTCATAGGAGGAACTTGGTAAATGTAGATAAAGAATAATAGCCATATTAGCTTTATTAAGTGCTTATAGGTGCCAGGCTCTGTTGCTAAGCACATTACAAACGTCATTTCATTTAATCCTCATCGCAACCTTATAATAGATACTGTCATTTTCTTCATTTTACAGATGTAAACTAAGTCCGGCAAGGTTACAAAACTCTTTTGTGGCTGCAAAGTGAGTATCTGAAACCAGTATTCAAATCAAGATCTTTCTAGTTCCAAATTGCAGGTCTTTAGCTACTATGATGGAGAGCTGGCCAGTCCCCAATGCAGTTGTGTCATAGTTAATAAATAATAATAATAGTAAAAGAGGTAACAAGTTATGAGTAACAAACGATACAATAAAACACTTACAGAGATGCTTCCATTTTGAGATACTAAAATCGGAAAAGTTCTATTTCATAGTACTCCAACATACATTCAGTAAAAGTGGCTCAGGAGTTGCATATCTATTTTCGTCTAAATAATGAACAGAAATGATGCTTTTATTATAAAAGCAGCTGAGGTTTAGCGTGATGCTGGGAAACACGCCACTTATGAATAATATACACATATGTGGGCTTTGCTATTCTTTGGCTCAAATGCAAGCTATTACTGTATTAGGCCTAAAGATACGGCCTCTTGAAAGCCCATTTAATGACACGGGACAGAAAAAAAAGCTATTCTTTAGAAAATGAAGCTCAAGTAAAAAATGTATTTAAAAAGAGACACAAGTGACAATATAAACTGGTAATTATGTCAAGAAGCCTATAATTTAATAAGGTAACTGATTTTGCCTTGTGAACAAGAAATGGCTGGCAGGGTTGATGGTAGAAAAGTAAAGACAGGTAGAATGCCAAGTCAGAATGAAAACTGGATCTACAACAGGCCCAGAAGTGGGTCTGGGAGCACATTCTGTTTGTCAGACATGGTTTATTATTTGTTCCACGTACCGTTCATAGTGAAAATACTAACCAGTGGGGCATTTACTAACGAAAATGACAGAAACTGACCACACAGACTGACCCCAAACATTTACATAACTTCTCCTGGTATACAGCCAAGTAAACCACAGATTCATATGAGGAAGGAAAAAGTAAATAAAAAATCAAGATATAAGGCATTCCAAATGGCTTTAAAGAACAAAGCAGGGTAATACAACTAAACACAGACAGACAAAACAAAACTAAATAAAAGAAGCACTTAGAGGTTCTGATTCAAATACGACAAGGAAGTATGAAGAGGTCAATCCACACAACAACCAGGAGGTTTATAGGGACAACATATTTTGGTGATAAGAAACTAGTTGGATGGTCTTCAACTCCCTAACCCCCCTTTTTGGTAAGATATGGCAAAAGAATAGAAATGATATCCCATTTATACATATAACAAATTAGGTTTAGTGGGAAAAAAAAAAAAAACTATGAAATGAAGTTGAACTTGGAAAACCTAGAAAATTTGATCACTACACCTATTTAGGAGTTTGTTTCTTTCTTTTCAAATATCTTTAGCTCCAAGTCCAACTATAGTTTATACAGAAGAGGAGACCTTTTCTATTTTTTTGTTTTCTTTTCTACTTTCAAACCTTTGTTTACTGAGCTTGGAATGATCCAGTATCCACGTTATGAATTCAGAGTCCCTGGCAAGCTTTACATTTTCTGACTTTAATCTCAATATAATATTATGCAATGATATTAACAGGACTTCTGTAAGTCAAAGTACTTACTGAAACCTGGTGAAAGGTATAATCATTAAATAAATTAAATGACAAAGTTTTTCTCAGAATACTGTACCCATTTAGCTTGATTTTTGCTAACATATAAGTCAATTTCAGTATAATCAAAAGAAGAGTGTATATATTTACAGTAAAGTGTTTAGAATGTTGCTGGCACATAGTGCTTCATAAATGTTAGCTTTATCCTTAGCAATTATTATTTTAAGAAGTTAACATGAAAAGTACAACTAAATTTTTGAAAGCTAGACCATCACTTCATACCCCAATTTCAATTAAGACAGAAAAAAAAAAATCACCCATTTGAACCTTTGTGTGTTTTTTGTTTTTTTTTTTTGAGATGGAGTCTCGCTCTGTCACCCAGGCTCGAGGGCAGTGGCGTGATCTCAGCTTATTGCAACCTCTGCCTCCCAGGTTCAAGTGATTCTCCTGTCTCAGCCTCCCGAGTAGCTGGGATTGCAGAGGCCCAACACTATGCTTGGCTAAATTTTCTATTTTTAATAGAGATGGGGTTTCGTCCTGCTGGCCAGGCTGGTCTGGAACTCCTGACCTCAGGTGATCCAACCACCTCAGCCTCCAAAAGTGCTGGGATTACAGGCCTGAGCCATCACTTCTAGCCATTTAAACCTTTGCTTTTAAGATTTTGTTTTAAAAATATTTTCTACAAGTGACAAAAGGTGAATCAAATTGTATTAGCTGAACCCAATATAATAATTCTACAAAGCCCTAGTCCCAATACTAAGTGGAAATAACTCATTTTATGGTATTTACATATGAAATACAGATTTTGAGAGTCACTGAGTGTTCTACTAAGCAAGGCAAGGACATGTCTTCAGTCCTTGGGAGACCATAAATTAAGAACACCCATCTCAATCCAGCACTGAGCTTCTTACAATGGGGCATATACACCTCCAGTTAAACGGGTGTCACTTTCCAAAAAAGCAATTCAACTTGAGAATATTGGTGAGCGAAAAGTTAAGCACAGACAGTCCTCACTTTGCAGGGTAGTATGAGACTATAAAAATTACTATGCAACCTGAAACCGTGCAAAGTGATCACAGTAATCAATGGGAAAATGATAATTGTTCCATGATCTTTAACAATTGTCAAAACATTAAATATTCTTACTGTCAGTTACAAATCTATAGGGAAATTTTAAAAAGTAAAACATTTTTTAAAGCACATTACAATATCAGAAATATTGAGAATTAAAGTATTTTATTTTTTTTGGTAAAAACTTACCAAGAATGGTCTGAACTATGTTTGCCTCCTTCTTCTGATTGTATAACTTAACAATATGGAGCAGGCATCTTTTCCATGCCTTGGTGAACTGTCATACTCCTTTATCCTAACTGCACCGGCTTCTAACATTTCATCTTTTGTGCTTTCAATGTTATGAGACATCTCTGCGAATTCGATTAATGTGAAGTTTTCTGACCATGTAATTTCCTCTGGGATAGCTTCATTCTCATAATCATAGCCACTTTCCAAATGCAGGTTGATAAGCTCACCTTCCTTAAGTTTCTCTGGCTACATATGTAGAGTCTCTGGTATGACAGCAGTGTCAACATTTTCACAACTGGCTATTTCTTTTATAACTCTATTTATAGCATTCAATTCAAATTTCACTTCTAGCATTATTGTTTTGTTTCACTGTGGCACCTTTGTTTGACAATTCCCTGTTCAGGTATCCATTTTTATAAAATATGTCAGTTTATCACTGGGAGACAAGGAGGTAATACAACTATCTGCTTTTGCAGACTATACAGTGAAAAGCACACACACTGACCAGTCACTAACAGACTTTGAAAGAAGTTATGTGATTGGTTACTAATCACCATGTGCACTTGTTATTTATGTAGTGCTTTGTGAAGTGAGGGCTAGCAACTACTACTTTACAAGTACTAATAGTTCAAATCTTGTGGTAACTGGGATTTGAAACAAGTGTTGTTAGGAGGAACTGATGTAATTTAACTAAGCCAGATTAATGAAATTGGTGCATGAAAGAACCATGCAACATGAGAACTGCCTGAAACTTAACTCGTTATTTTCAGACTGTTTTCGAGTAAGACAAACTAATTATGAGCATGATAAAAATATGTGTGAATGTTTAAGATAAAACATGAGACTTCAGTAAGATTGTGTTTGTCTTCCCCAGATTCCCAGGTATACAAGCTTGTTCTGTTATTAGGGAGACTTCAGTAGCAAAGTTTGAGAAATGCAGCCTTATGGATAGGATCATCCAATACATGAAAATTCTACTTAATAAAATGAGTTTCTAGGGCACTTGGCTAACTGGGTTTATAAGAACCGGCTGTAAATAACAGGAATAAAAGGGGTGAAAATACTAAAAATTTCCAGTCCCTATTGCATGTTAGATCATGTTAACATCATAATCCTGATTAGGTAGCTATCATTTTTACATATGACAAAAATGAAATTTGAGGTAAGATCACCAAGATAAGAAATAGGAAAAATCCAAATTTACTCAAGTCCAACTCCATTTACAGGTAACATGCTACATGTATGGTTACTAAAGACGAAGACGGAAGAGCTTAATTTACATTTTTGCCCTAGAGAGCTTACTTCCTCTACTTAGAAAGGTTTTTGCCTTCTTAATGACTGCCAAACATTACCCCTTACTCAAAGCCTTCTCAGAATCTCCAGGCACAGCAAATCCTTCCTTCTTTTGCATTTCAGTAACAACTGTATAGACCTCTATTAGAACTTCATTATTTGTTTACAAGGTCAGAAGCTGTTAAATTGAGCTAAAAATCTGCAGACAAGTAACTGGTTAACTTCTGCTTGCTTTGGGTTTAGTTTGCTTTACTTTTCCTGTTATCTAAGGTAGAAGGATAGGTTTCTGAGATCTTCATTTTTAGTGTGGGTGTTTACAGCTATACATTTCCCTGTAAGCACTGCGTTAAATAATCTCAAAGTATTTTCTAATTTTTCTTGTTATTTCTTCTTTGACTTATTGGTTATTTAAGAGTATGCTGTTCAATTTCCACATATTTGTGAATTTCCCAAATTTCTTTCTGTTACTGATTTGTATCTTCACTCCATTATGGTTAGAGAACATAGTTTGTATGACTTAAATCCTTTCATTTATTGAGAATTGTTTTATGAAACAGCATATGGTCTATCTTGGAAAACGTTCTTATGTATTTAAAAAGAATGTGCATTCCGCAGTTGAGAGAAGACTTTTATAAATATATATTAGATTAAGTAGGTTGACTGTGTTGTTCATGCTTCTTCTATCCTTACTTATTTTCATCTATTTGTTCTATCAATTTCTTGAAAGAGGGTGATAAAATGTCCAATTATAATTGTGGATTTGTCTACTTCTCTTTTCAGTTAGGCAATTGTTAATTGATTTATTTGGAAGCTCTGTCACTGGGTGCATATACATTTAGGATTATTATGTCTTCTTGATGAATTGATCCCTACAGATCATTATGTAAGGCTCCTCTTTATCTCTGGCAATACTCCTAGTTCTAAAGTTGACTTTGTCTGATATTAATGTGGCCACTCCAGCTTTCTTATGTTTAATATTTGCATGGCATATTTTTATGTTTAACATAACTTCCTTGTTGACAATATATAGTTAGGCTTTGTTTTTTAAACAAGTCTGAAAATCTCTTTTATTTATTTATTTATTTATTTATTTATTTATTTGAGACAGCGTCTTGCTCTGTTGCCTAGGCTGGAGTGCAGTGGCATGATCTCTGATCACTGGAACCTCCACCCCTTGGGTTTAAGCGATTCTCCCACCTCAGCCTCCCACTGAGTAGCTGGGATTATAGGTGTGTGCCACCATGCCTGGCTAATTTTTGTATTTTTAGTAGAGATGGGGTTTCACCATATTGGTCAGGCTGGTCTCAAACACCTGACCTCAACTGATTCCCCTCCTGCCCAACCCCCTACCCACAGCCTCGGCCTCCAAAGTGCTGGGATTACAGGTGTGAGTCACCACACCCGGCCTCTTTTAAATGCAGTGTCTGGAACATTTATATTTAATGTAATTAGCAGTACAACTGGGTTTAAATCTACTATGTTGCTATTTGTTTTCTATTTGTCACATCTGTTCTTTGGTCCCTTTTCCACGGCTTCTTTCGGATCAGTTGCTTTTTTTTTTTTTTTTTTAAGATGGGGTTTCGTTCTGTCGACCAGACTAGGGGCAGTGGCAGGAACACAGTTCACCGCAGCCTTGGCTTCCTGGGCTTAAGTAATCCTGTTGCCTCAGCCTTCCAAGTAGCTGGGACTACAGGCATGTGCTACCAGACCTGGCTAATTTTTTTTTTTTTTTTTCAGAGACAGGCTGAAAAACCATGTTGCCCAGGCTGGTCTCAAACTCCTGGGCTCAAGTGATCTTCCTACCTCGGCCTCCCAAAGTGCTGGGATTACAGGCCTGAGCCACCACACCCAGGGTATCTTTAAAAGATTTTACCACCATTATTGGCTTATTAGCTCTATCTCTAATTTTTCAGTGGTTGCACACTGGCAAACTATGGCTCATGGGCCCAGTCTTGTCTGATATCTGTTTTTGTAAACAGTTTCATTGAAACAATGCCACCGCCCATGTGTTTACTTATTATCTATGGCTGCTTTCATAGCATAACAGCAGAGTTGGGTAGCTGTAACAAAAACCATATAGCCAGCCGGGTGTGGTGGTTCATGACTGTAATCCCAGCACTTTGGGAGGCCGAGGTGGGTGGATCATGAGGTCAGCAGATCGAGACCATCCTGGCCAACATGGTGAAACCCCATCTCCAAAAAATAAAATGAAATAAAATAAAAATTAAAAATAAAACCACATAGCCTACAAAACCTGAAATATTTATCATCTGAACCTTGACAGAAAAAATTTGCTGACCACTGCTCTATGGCTTAAGTTTAAAAATTAAGATCTTGTAACAAAATTGCTTAATTGTACTCCAAATATAAAGTGCCTCAAATACTGACTTAAAAAGTTTATCCTCAGGAGATACAAATTCCTCAGATAATTACTCACATTGTTTTCTTGTTTCTTGTTGTTCTTCAAGAGTGTGATGATACAATTATGAATAAAAAAAGCAAGGGTAAGCACCCCAGTCAGCTGTGGAAACTGAAGTCTTATCTCTAGGAGAAAAATGAAAACAAAAACATTAAAACTGACAATTAGAAAATGAATATTAGTAACCAAAAGTTGATTAGTAAAAATCAGTTGTCACTGTTTTGTCCAGGGAATAAGAATATTAAAATGTCTTTACAAAGTTCCTCAAGGCTAGCATTATACTTGGGCAAAGCACTCAAAAGGGGGAAAAAAGTATACTCTGGTTGGGCTCAGTGGCTTACGCCTGTATCATAGCACTTTGGGAGGCTAAGGTCGGCAGATTACCTGAGGTCAGGAGTTTGAGACCAGCCTGGCCAACATGGCAAAACCTTGTCTCTACTAAAAATACAAAAATTAGCTGAGCGTGGTGTCAGGTACCTGAAATCCCAGCTACTTGGGAGGCTGGTGCAGGAGAATCACTTGAACCTGGGAGGCAGAGGTTGTAATGAGCCAAGACTGCACACTGCACTCCAGCCTGGGCAACAGAGCAAGACTCCACCCCACCCACCCACCCCCCAAAAAAAGTATACTCTGTGCAGGCACTTTATATCAATTACTCCTATTTGAGGTCATACAACTGGTATGGGGAAGGGCAGGATTCAAATTTAGGGTCTGTATGACTTTAAAGTCCTTCATTTTTTTAATACTTGAATTTGCCAGAAAAGTACCTCTAAAAAAGGAAATATGAAAGGGAAATATGTCAGTGTCACTCTTCACTGACAAATCTGAATTATTTTAAAATATTAGAAATAAATGTCCATCTACAGGGAATTCATTAAATTGAAATACAGTTGTACAGTGGTATATGGTATCTAAAAATTATGTTGTAGAGGCAGTTTCTTTTTTTTTTTCCTATGATTGAAATAGCATACATACTGTGATTTTACTTTTATTTTTATTGTTTTATTTTTTTTGAGACAGGGTCTCACTCTGTCACCCAGGCTGGAATGCAGTGGGTCAAACATGGCTGACTACAGCCCCAACTTTCTGGACTCCAGTGATATTTCTACCTCAGCTTCCCTGGTAGCTAGGATTACAGGTGCATGCCACCACACCCAGCCAAGCTTAAAAAAAATAGTTTTGGAGAGACAGGGTCTCGCCATGTTGCCCAGGCTGGTCTTGAATTCCTGGGCTCAAGTAATCCTCTCACCACAGCCTTCCAAAGTGCCAGGATTACAGGCATAAGCCACTGACCCCGGCCTACTTTTATTTTTCAAATATGTGTGTGTGTATATAGATGTGTATATGCAAAGAAAAAAGACTGGACGGGTATCCATAAAAATATAAACAGTGGTTATGTCAGGCTATGCAATTTATTTTAAATTAACCACTTACCTATAATCTCTAAATGTTCTGCAATAAACACATAAGTTACTTTAAAGTGAGAATAAAATAACATTGCAAAAGCACTGCCAATTTCTGTTTTGAGGACTGCTAATAGAAGGAAAAAATTGATTTTATGTAGAATAAAACCATGATTTATTTGAAAATACTTCTGGTCTAGGCAAACACATTTCAGGGGATTCCTTACTGTAAAAAGTAGAAATGTATAAAAAGTCCACTGACCCTGCTATATTATTTTAGGAAACGAAGAGAAAACAAGAATCAAGTACTAGCTCTAAAATAAAATAAATAAATCAAAATAAAATAAGATCTATTAGTTTTCAATATGCTCTTTTCAATTTAGCTGAATTTCCTGTCTTCAGATTTCTATTACTTAGTTAAGATACCCTGCAAAGCAATTCTTAGCTAATCCTTTTCTATCTTTTCTAATTAAGTAAGTAAGACCACTGTTAGATATCTAACTTGTCACATTACAGTGGGTAAATAGCTTTTTCCCCACTAACTAACAAAAGCTGTCTTTTTGAGAAAATTTCTTGAAAACCTGAGATTCTTTTTAACAGCACTATTGAAATATAATTCATTTCACCCTCTTAAAGTGTATAAATAAATAGTTTTTAATTGAATAGTATATTCACAGAGTTGTACAACCATAACCACAACACTTCATTCCTTTTTTATTGTTGAATAATATCCCATTGTACAGATATACCACATTTTGGCCAGGCACGGTGGCTCATACCTGTAATCCCAGCACTTTAGCGGAAGCTGAGACAGACAGATCACCTGAGGTCAGGAGTTTGAGACCAGCCTGGCCAACACGGTGAAACCTACTAAAAATATAAAATTAGCCAGGCATGGTGGTGAGCACCTGTAATCCCAGCTACTCGGAAGGCTGAGGCCGGAGAATCACTTGAACCTGGAAGGCAGAGATGGCAGTGAGTCGAGATTGCGCCACCGCACTCCAGCCTGGGTGACAAAGTGAGACTCTGTCTCAAAAAAAAGAAAGATATACCACATTTTATTTATCCATTCATTAGTGATAGACACTGGGCTGTTTCTACTTTCAGGCTATTATGAATAATGCTGCTATAAACATGCATATACAAGTTTTTGTGTGGAAAATACACTTGTTAAAAGATCACAGACATTAACACCATGATTGTTGCATAATATATTAAATAATAGATTCTTCACAAAATGGTTTTAAAGAAGCTCCAAACTTCTGATCATTTTCAAACTGCTTACTTTATTCCTTTGAAAAGGCATATCAAGAAAGAATGTAAGCAGGAAGAAGATAATTGCATTACATATATCTGAGAAAGGATTCATATCTGGAATGTATAAAGAACTCCTATAAATCAATAAGAAAAAAACCAGACAGTTAAATAGAAAAATAGAAGAAGCACTTCACAAAAGATGAAATCCAAATGGCCAGCGAACATATGAAAAGTTGCTAACTTGATAGCCTGGGGAGAAATGCCAGAGATAGGTGATGGGGAGGAAGGCAGCAAATCACACTGCTGTGTGTGTACCTATGCAACAATCGTGCATGTTCCTCACATGAACCCCAAAACCTAAAATGCAATTAAAAAAAAAAAGAAAAAAAAAGTTGCTAACTACATTGATCATTACAGAAATGCAAATTAAAACCAAAATCACATTGTATGTTCCCAACAAAAAGAGGTGGCGGATATCCCAATTACCCTGATTTGAACACTATACACTGCATAGAGGTATTAAAATATCACATGCACCCCCCAAATATGTATACTATTATATGCCAATTAAAATTTTTAATTAAAAAACATAAAACCTCTGGAATACACAGGATCCTTTAGGGTGTCAAAAGAAAAAAAACAAACATAAAACCACAATGTAATACTACACTATATATCCATCAGAAAGGCTAGATGAAAAACAGAAAATTCAAGTATTAGTGCACTATAACTTATATGAACTTCAACTTTCAAGTAAAAATGACAAAGGGCCCTGGTTACCACTAACTACAAGAAACTCAAAATAATATCAATTATAGTCCTGTTTTTAACTTAAGAACATTTATAAAAATGCTTAGCATAAAAACATCATTACTTGTTTTAAAATAGCAAATAACAATGGTTAACTTAAGATCACAGTATTATAATTTATTATTTTGCCAAAACAGCTCACCTGGTACAAAAAATTCTGTTGGTATAAACCAGTGAAATTCCAAATGAAATCCCAAGCGAACAGCCTTAAAGGTGACAAGGAAAATCAAATAAAGAACAGATACTGTTCCTGTGAGGAAAAAATTCAGAAACCATTTATTATCTTTGTGTGTTTTACAGATTATTTTAGAATCAGGCATTGTTCCATAGTCTCGGCAAAGTGTGGGAAATTGCTACCTGCATTGATTATCTCCACTAACACCCAGCTGGGATCTAAAGACTAGAAACAAGCTACAGAAGTTACCAGATACAACAACAACAGCAAAACCCCTATCTAGTATGCCTAAGAAGAACAGATGGGCTGGGTGCAGTGGCTCACACCTGTAATCTCAGCACTCTGGGAGGCCGAGGTGGCCAGACAACCTGAGGTCACGAGTTCGAGACCAGCCTGGCCAACACGGAGAAAGGTCATCTCTACTAAAAATACAAAAATTGGCCAGGCACGGTGGAATGTGCCTGTAATCCCACCTACTCGGGAGGCTGAGACAGGAGAATCACTTGAACTCAGGAGGTAGAGGTTGCCGTGAGCCAAGATTACACCACTGCACCCTAGGCTAGGCAACAGAGCAAGACTCCATCTCAAAGAAAAAAAAAGAAGAAAAGAAGAACAGATGAAGGTAGCTCATACATTGCTGAATGCAAAACTGCTTGATTTACTTATGAGTTGAGTTTAAGCAGAAGATACAAGGAACGAGTCCATTATAAAATTGCAGGGTTACGTAGGATAGAAAAAACAACATGAAACTAACTTTTATTCATTGAATTGGAAGTGTTAGAGACAGTCTGTCACAACATTTAATGTGAGATGGTAAGAATGTAAAGTAAGAAAAGCAGTGAATGTGAATCAAAAGCATATTTGAGAAAGAGGAGAAGCCAAATAATACATGAACCATCCTGATCTACTATCTAGGTGAGGTTTTGATTTATTATTTGATTATAATAAATTAATGGAGATTCCAGACTCCATTCTCAGGTATTATATACACAGTAAAGTGGGCACTCAGAATTTCTTAGTAGTGTAGAAGGTAGAAGATTATTCCTTTTAAGAAATTAAGTCTAGTCATTCCGGAGTAGAGTCAGGAAACTTAGGAAGGCCTTAGATGCTAATTCCTCTAATGAAGCTATGGTTTTAAGACAGAGGAAAAGTAGCAAGGAAAAGAACAAAAGCAGAACATCCTTAAGGAGCTGGAGAATGAGCAATCAACCTGGTTGGAAGTCTGATGATTGTTGTGCCCAACTGAGCAAATTCTTCTGTAAGTTTATATTCTTTTGAAAGATCTGTTTCATAGAAAAGTTGGCAAGCAAATCAGGAAACCACGAATGAGCAATATAAGCTCTACTGTGGGTCTGGAGATTAGCTGATTCAGAAAGGATGAAAACAAGAGGCCAGAGCTTATATAACCACAACTCTTTATCTTCTGTGTCTATGGCAGCTTACAGTGAATCCTGTTGTGAGGCAGACAGGCAAAGAGAAATATCTTTACCTTTTCCTTTGGTCTTCTGGAAACCTAGAAGCCACTTCCTTGCTCCTTGATAGGATGAGTAATCTATTTATTTTACACTCTAGGCTGCCTGCCAGAGTTCACATCCACAGGGAGAAGGTAAAATTGTATGGTTTAAGTGGAGTTATCAATTCTTTATGAAGGATATCCCTGTTTTTGCCAAGATCTGAACTTTCACTGGGGCTTCCTTTTGCCATCTTAAGCAGGGTAAAAACATTCCTTTAGTGGTTTCTGAAAAGCAGGGCTCACAGACAGAGGTCTGTTCCTTGAACAAGGCAATAGTCTTCTAAGAAAAAAAAGCACTGAGGAAGAGAGCAAAAGCAGAATAAACCTAAGAAGCCTGAGATAGAGAGGGATTTCCCAGGTTCAAAGTCAGGTGATAATTCTGCATAATACTCTTAGAGACTGTAGGAAAAAACATTCCATAACCTTTCTTATAAGTTCTGTTTCCAACCCTTAGAATTGAGAATTCCTACAATATCCAATTTAGATCTCTCCTGAAATTTTTGTCTATTTCATCTAGTTGTATCCTCAGAGGAAATGAGGAAGAATTGCTCAGTAAGTTTAGAATGAGAAACCAAATAATTCATGTCATTAAAAACAAAAACAAACAAAAAAAAACAACCAAACCAAAAATGGTCATCTACACTTTTCTCCATGCCAAATTCCACAAAAAAAAATAGAAAAATCAGGTTATTGTAAGAAGGAACAAATTGCTGGGCGTGGTGGCTCATGCTTGTAATCCCAGCATTTTGGGAGGCTGAGGCAGGTGGATCCCTGAGGTCAGGAGTTTGAGACCAGCCTGGACAACATGGTGAAAACTCGCCTCTACTAAAAACTACCAAATTAGCTGATCATGGTGGCACACACCTGTAATTCCAGCTACTTGGGAGGCTGGTGAGGTGAGATCGTGCCATTGCACTCCAGCCTGGCAAAAAGAGCAAAACTCAGAAAGGAAAGGAAAAAGCAAAGGAAAAAGGAAAGGAAGGAAGGAAGGAAGGATGGAAGGATAAACAAACACAAATGAACAGGCTTGGAAGGTAACTCACCACTCGGACCATATTTCCCTAGACTCCACCACATATTCTATTACACAAAGTCTCCATATTTCAGTGCTACTACTTACCTAAGATATTAAATTTTGAAAAAAATGAAGGAGATTTGAAATTGAGCAGTGGAAGGAGAAGCCCTACAAGATAAAAGGGCACTGTCCTGGACTTATCCCACCACTTTTCAAATTGTTGGGCTCCTGTGTCATTGGCATAGAAAATCATAGAGCTGTTGTCAGGATGGCCTCCACTTCCGGCACTTGGACAAATCACTGCAATAGGAAAGCACCAGATTAGAGAAGACCACAAAAACAAAACAAAACAAAAAAAACAACAGAAAATGACTGCCCCTAGAGACAGGCACTTGTTCTACCAAACTTCAACTTTTCCTAGGAGCCTAAATATCTCCTTTCTGGAAAAAATAGAGGATTAATTTTAGGAATATTAGGAATCCTTCACCTAAACATAAATAAGGGTGAGGGAATCTTTAAAATTTCTGATACTATCTTTATTTTTATTTATTTATTTTTTGAGACAGAGTCACCCAGGCTGTAGTGCAGTGGCATGATTTTGGCTCACTGCAACCTCCACCTCCTGGGTTCAAGCAAGTCTCTTGTCTCAGCCTCCCAAGTAGCTGTAACTACAGGCGCACATCACCATGCCCAGCTATTTTTTGTATTTTTAGTACAGATGGGATTTAGCCATGTTGGTCAGGCTGGTCTTGAACTCCTGACCTCAGGTGATCCACCCACCTTGGACTCCCAAAGTGCTGGGATTATGCATGAGTTACTGTGCCCAGTCCTGAGATATTATCTTTAAACTCTACTAGAAACTACAAAAATATCCCACCAAATACCCCTTGGTTCCACTGCTAGAGAGAAAATATTGGGCTGGATGGTGTTACGTCTTATTTATACAATAGTATAAAAAATATCATTTAGGGTGACTGTTTATTACATTAATAACCCATACAAAGGCCAAAGAGCAGGTTTCTTTTTAACAACAAACAAAATCTATGGGTTTGGAATAAAAAGCAAACATCATTGAAACAGCTGCCACAGTATCATAATCACTGATAAAAATGCAAGAATCTTGAATCCCAACAATCCAAAATAATTCTGGAAGTTAATCACATTTGATAAAAACCTGAGTCCAGATGGTATCCAGACAACTGGGAAGTCAGTAAAATGTATGTTCCTTTTTTTTTTTTTTTTTTAGACAGAGTCTCACTCTGTTGCCCAGGCTGGAGTGCGGTGGCATGATCTCGGCTCACTACAACCTCCACCTCCCGGGTGAAGCGATTCTGCTACCTTAGCCTCCTGAGTAGCTGGGGTTACAGGCACATCCCACCATGCCTGGCTAATTTTTGGATTTTTGGTAGAGGCAGGGTTTCACCATGCTGGCCAGGCTGGTCTCGAACTCCTGACCTCATGATCCGCCTGCCCTGGCCTGCCAAAGTGCTGTGATTACAGGCATGAGCTGCTGCGCCCAGCCTAAATGTGTTTCTTAAATACTGATCTATCAGTGGCAATTTCTTTGGTTATTAGGCAGAATACCAGCCATTCTTATTGTGTTTCTAATGTCACAATGGAGCTTTTGCTAATAATCAGCTCTTTGTAAGAATTTTATTTCTCCTTAGTCAACGTTTTAGTGCGCTTTTTTCTTCTATGCTCTGGACAGAAATTTTCCTGTGCTAATTATAGTGGTTAAAAGCACAGGTTATGATAGCCAGGCTATGGCAGCTGGGCACAGTGGCTCATGCCTATAATCCCAGCACTTTGGGAGGCTGAGGCAGGATGATCACTTGAGGCCAGGAGTTTGAGACTAGCCTAGAAAACATGGCAACCCTGTCTCTACAAGAATAGCAAAATTTTGCTGGATGGGGCGTATAACTATAGTCCCAGTTACTTGGGAGGTGGTGGGAGGATTGCTGAAACCCAGAAGTACCAGGTTGCAGTGAGCTGTGATTATGCCACTGTAGGCCAGTCTAGACAACAGAAAGAGAGCTTGTCTCCAAAAAATAAGAAAGAAAGAAAAAAAAAAAGAGCACAGGCTGTGGAAGGTAATTGAATAATGAATCCCAACTCTGCCACTTAATAGTAAGGTGTCCTTGGATGAAATTAACTACTATGTGCCCTGGTTTCTTCATCTGGAAAATGGAGTTGACAGTATCTACCATTTAGGGTTGCTGTAAAACATTTAATAGAATGCCTACACACAGGTATTCAATGAATGTTAGCTGTAATTTTTTTTTTTGAGACCGGGTCTCTGTCACCCAGGCTGGAGGGCAATGGCATAACTATGGCATACTGTAGCCTCAACCACTCAGGCTCAAGCGATCCTCCTGCCTCAGTGTCCTGAGTAGCACAGACTACAGGCACATGCCATTATGTTAATTAAAACTTTTTTTTATAGATGGGGTCTTGCTATGTTGCCCAGGCTGATCTCAAACTCCTAGGCTCAAGCAATCCTCCTGCCTCACCCTCCCAAAGTGTTAGAATTAAAAGTGTGAGGCACCATGCCCAGCAGCTAAAATTTTTTACATTAACTGAAATGGATTGTTTCATACTCTCACTATTTACTACACTGTTCAAAATAAACATTAGCAGAGAAATAAAGAAGTGCTGGATATAAGATATCACTATACAAAGTAATCTGACTTTGCTGATGGTGTTCTCTAAATCTTCAACATGACTGTGATATTAATATTTATTACCTTAATGATGAACTGACTCCCTACTGGAGAAGAAATACTATTAAATTTAGATATTAGTAAACTAGTTTCATCAATTAGTATCAGAATAGGTATAGCAAAATAATTTTCTCTTTAAAAACAAGGATGTTATTTGGTCCTTTGAAAATTCTGAGGGATAGGGCACAAGATATTTTAGTATAATAATTCAGAGGTATATGTGTGTGTTCACAGGAATAAAAGCTAGTATGTCATTCACTCATTTTCTAGCATTAACAAAAGACAGGTTTAATTAGGGGCAAAGTAAGACACTGAGTAGCAAACACTAGAATGTATACTCCATGAGAGGACAAACTTTTGTCTGTTCATTTTTATGTCCCCAGAGCCTAGAACAGTTCCTGACACATAGTCGGCTTAATAAATGTATTTAATGAATTATCCCTCTTTTTTTTTTTTTTTTTTTTTTTTTGAGGTGGAGTTTCGCTCTTGTTGCTCAGGCTGGAGTGCAATGGTGCGATCTTGGCTCATTGCAACCTCCTCCTCCCAGGTTCAAGCAATTCTCCTGCCTCAACGTCCCGAGTAGCTGTGATTATAGGCATGCGCCACCATGCCCGGCTAATTTTGTATTTTTAGTAGAGATGGGGTTTCTCCATGTTGGTCAGGCTGGTCTCCAACTCCCGACCTCGGGTGATCTGCCCACCTTGGCCTCCCAAAATGCTAGGATTACAGGCGAGAGCCACCTCGCCTGGCCAAATGAATTATCCTCTTAGTGATCAATGTGCACCTCCATCAACATGACATCAATTTAGTATCCCTGAAATCTACATACATACAGCTTTAGGTAATATTCAAATTTAACAGCATAACTGCTACCAAGGTTATATTAGTATTTATATTCACTTTCCCTGTAACTGCCATACTGGATTAAACCCATTGGCCACAGGGTTTTGTTTTTTTTTTTAAATAAATAAAAACTTCTAAGAAATTAATTTCTTTTGGAGCTAAAGCTTCCATTTATTTTTCATTACTAACGAAATTTATATTTAGTTACTAATCTCTGTTTATTACTAGAAAATTAATCATTTTACAGGTTATGAAATTGTATAGCTTATATGTTAGTAACTAAAACAATACATCTCCAAAATGAAGTTAACAAACCGAGAACTATGCCTCTAGACCTCTGATATAATTAATAGTGATATTGGTTCTTGAAAATATTGATTATTCACAGGCAAATATGGATACTGTAGATAAAATTGTGAGTTGTATAATATGAACTAAGTGTTGCCTAGCTCACACTAATACAACCTCTTGCCTGGCTTACATTAACACAGCCTTTTGGAGGGTCTTTTTTTTTTAAACTCACTAATTACCAACAATTTAGTAGCAGCTCAGTAAACATAATAATTTTCTGCTAATCATTTACCTAAAATAAGGCCACATGTTCTACATTAAATCCTTTGGGAGCAAGGTGGAGAGTAAAGAAACAAACAACATCCCAAACTACTTACCAGGGTTGCTATTATTGCTACTCAGTATAGTGTCTGTGTCATTAATGTGATGAATAAAATCTAAAAATGAAGGAAAAAATATAGTTTAACATTGAATGAAAGATACTAAATCTATTATCCTTTAAGGCCTTTTAGTTATAAGAATCTTTTAATATCTGTGTAGTAATCTAGTCCACTGAACAAAGACTACTTCACTGTTAACATAGCTTACCTTCTACGGTTTTCTTCACTTGTAGGAATGATAATTTAATGGCTTCACAGTGCCATTGTGGAAAGTTAAGAAAAAAAAATCTAAAAAATCTATCCACAACACTGAATTAATATAGCTAAAAGCTCCAAAATAAAGATATGTACATTTTTTTCTTATACTCACACTAAAGTTACATCTCACATAGAGTACAGTTCTAATGTGTGCAAAAAGGGGAAACCAACACTCATACACAGCTAATCTTCCCTAGAAAATCACTTAAAGTTTTTTTACAAAGTACAATACATACTTTTGTAGATCTAAGGCTATATACGAATTGTTTATACACATAAGAACCACTAACCACTGAGTTAGACTAAAGGAAGTAACAGAGAATAAAACACATGCAGATGGCTGAGCATTCATATCACTCTACAGTGAAGGAGAGAATAGGCAGAGAATATGCTTACTTGCTAGCCTGGGGGGTTTACTTTATTCTGTTTGATATTAACCTTCTATACCCTTAGTAAGCATTAATAAAAGTATTTGTTATGAAACTTGAATAAGATGGTAAAAGGTGCTGGGTTAGGTTTTAAGTCATGAAAGCAAGTTAAATATTTACTCATCTTCTCTGTACGTTTCTCAAGATAAAAGAAACAGTGTAGTACTCTGGCATTTTACAATATCTCCAATGATTTAAGATTGAAATTTGTGAATCTTCATATAATTTCTTGATGGCAAAGACTTACAATAAGGCTAGTAAAATCTTGACACAAAGCATACTGGGTTAAATAGCTCCAAATTTATTTCCACTAGAAACCTCTGAATGTGACCTTATTTAAAAACAGAGTCTTTGTAGACATAACCAAGTTAAGAGGAGGTCATAATGGATTAGGGTGGGCCCTAAAGCCAATGACTAATGTCTTTCATTTTATTATATTTTTATTTTAGTTATTTTTTTTTTTTTGAGACAGTCTTGCTGTTGCCCAGACTGGAGTACAGCGGCATGATCTCGGCTCACTGCAACCTCTACCTCCTGGGTTCGGGCAATTCTCCTGCCTCAGCCTCCCAAGTAACTGGGATTACAGGCAGCCGCCAGCACGCCTGGCTAATTTTTCTATTTTTAGTAGAGATGGGGTTTCACCATGTTGGCCAGGCTGGTCTCGAACTCCTGACCTCAGGTGATCCACCCGTCTCGGCCTCCCAGAGTGCTGGGATTATAGGCATGAACCACCATGCCTGGTCCAACGACTGATGACTTTATAGGAAGAGGGAAATTTGGACACAGACATACAGAGGTAAGAGGGCCATGTGAAGATGGAGGGAGAAACTGGAGTGACGTACCTACTTGCCAAGGAAGGCCAAGGACCACCATCAACCAGCAAAGGTTAGGAAGAGACAAAGAAGGATTCTTCCCTAGATCCTTAGAAGGGAGCAGGGCTCCACTGACCCTTTGATATCACATCTCTAGTCTCCATAGTTATGAAAAATGAAATCTGTGTTGTTATAAACACGTTTATGGTAATTTGTTACTGCACCCTTAGGAAACTAATACACCAAGGCTCAAGGACAGCATGAAAAAGAAAAACCATAGGCCAGTATTTGTTAGGAAAAGACACAAAAGATCTAAACAGATATTAGCTCCTACCCCTCCAAAAAAGCAAACTCAATCCAGCAAGGTGTTTGAAAAATGCATGTCACGACTAATGAACTTATCCAAGTTTATCCCACAATACAAGGATCGTTTAAATTTTATAAAATATATTCATTTAATTCATCATACTGATAGAGGAGAAAATTTAATTAAGATCTCTTGTCTCTTAACATCTTTTGATTATCCCAAGAGATGTAGATTAAGTACTTGATAAAATTCAATCACTTTAATGAAAATGCTTAAGAAAACGATAGTCGGGAATGCCTTTAAATTATTAAAGCTTACAACTAATATCCCACAACAAACATAATATTTGTGAAACATTAGAAAGGTTTCCTTACGGACAATGTAAGAATATCTACAAGCACTGCTTCAATGGAACTTCACACTTAAAAAACCATCCATACATACCTATAGATACACATTTATACATATGTGTCTGTGTGTCCGTATAAGTATATACATATATAAATATAAATGTATGTATACTTATATGAACTATTAAAAAAAACCAGAAAGCTTTTTTTTGACATGGAGTCTCACTCTTGTCGCCCAGGCTGGAGTGCAGTGGCGCGATCTTGGCTCACTACAACCTCTGTCTCTTGGGTTCAAGCAATTCTCCTGCCTCAGCCTACTAACTAGCAGGGATTACAGGCACACGCCACCACACCTGGCTAATTTTTGTACTTTTAGTAGACACAGGGTTTCACCAGGTTGGCCAAGCTGGTCTCAAACTCCTGAATTCAGGTGATCCGCCTGCCTTGGTCTCCCAAAGTGCTGGGATCACAGGCGTGAGCCACCGCACCTGGCCAGAAAGCTTTTTAAATTCACAGGTGATATGATTATTTAAATAGAAAACACAAAGTGCATCTACAAAATTTTTAGAATCAGTGAGTTCCGCAAGTTTGCTAGATTCAAGATAAACATTCAAGAGGCAGGACGGGGGCTCTTGCCTGTAATCCCAGCACTTTGGGAGGCTGAGGTGGGTGGATTGCTTCAGCTCAGGAGTTCAAGACCAGCCTGGGCAACATGATAAAACCCATCTCTAAAAAAAAATACAAAAATTAGCCAGGTATGGTGGTAGTTGCCTGTAGTCCCAGCTATTCGGGAGGCTGAGGTGAGAGGATCACCTGAGCCTGGAGAGGTTGAGGCTGCAGTAAGCCGTGATCACACCACTGCACCCTAGAGCCTGGGTGAAAGAGTGAGACGCTGTCTCAAAAAAACATTCAAAATGTAATTAGGTTATTTTTATAATAGCAACAAATAATGTGAATGTATAATCAAAAATATATCATTTCTGGGAAGATGAAAATGTTCTATTTCTTGAAGGAGGTATGGGTTATATAGATGTATGTATTTTTCAAAATTGTGTAATTAATATGTATAGTTCAATGAATAAATTCTATCTAAAAAAGAGAACGATACATATACTAATGTTGAACTGGGGTGGGGAGGGGGTGTAGCATGGATTATGTCTTCTCAATGGATGTGATGCTACTCTCAAGAGGGACAAAATTCATTCTTAGAAGGTAAAAGAAACTCTTTTTACAGCTAAAGTATATGTATACATACAGTCCATAAGGAGTTTTACAGCATATCTTTGGTATTAAAATTTCATAAGAGGGGTGATCAGAAAAAAAAATCTAAAAAGTCTCCTTGAAGGGATAATAATGAAAAAATGGTTGAAAAGCACCTACTATAGATGATTTTAAAAAGACAGAATGTTTATAACTGTTAAAACTAAGTAAGGGGAAATTATACTATTCTGTTTACTTTGTATGTATTTAAAATTTTTTATAATAAAAACTGCATATTTGTATATTAAAACTATAGTTACAGAAAAAATGCTATGATCCTGAGGAAAAGGTCCAGAAAAAAAAGATGCTTATCAAGAAAATCTTTAAGAATATTTTTTAAAGACCTAAATGAACCAGAGATTATGTCATGCCAAAATCATGAATAGGAAGGCTCAGTATCTAAATGATATCAGTTCTCTCCACATCAATAAATCCAATGCAATGTCAACTGAATTCTAACTCAATACTTGACGATATCAATTACTGTACTGTGTGTATTCCAACTGATGAAATCAATGCAATTCCAATCAAATTCTGATTGGAATTTTGTGGAACTTGATAAGTTGATTCTAAAATGTACATGGAACAGTTATAAACCATAATGGAGAAAAACAGTAATTTTAAAATAAAATAAAAAACTTTTGAATAACATAGAGCTACCATATAAAAAGAGAAGACAAGCCACTAATTAGAAGATATTTGCAACACAATAGTGGATAAAAGGTTACCGTACTTTACAGAGTTCCTACAGGTAAGAAAAGGACCAAAATCCGATAGAAAAATTGGCAAAAGAGCTACCATATAAAAAGAGAAGACAAGCCACTAATTAGAAGATATTTGCAACACAATAGTGGATAAAAGGTTACCGTACTTTACAGAGTTCCTACAGGTAAGAAGAGGACCAAAATCCGATAGAAAAATTGGCAAAAGAAAAAAAAAAAAAACAAAAAAAAAAATAAAAAAAAAAAAAAAAAAAAAAGAAAAATTGGCAAAAGAGGCCGGGCATGGTGGCTCACACCTGTAATCCCAGCACTTTGGGAGGCTGAGGCAGGTGGATCACAAGATCAGGAGATTGAGACCATCCTGGCCAACATGGTGACACCCTGTCTCTACTAAAAACACAAAAATTGGCTGGGCATGGTGCCTGTAATCCCAGCTATTCAGGAGGATGAGGCAGGATTATCACTTGAACCAGGGAGTTGGAAGATGCAGTGAGCAGAGATTGAGATGGAGTCTTGCTCAGCCTGGTGACAGAGTAAGACTCCATCTCAAAAAAAAAGAAAAAGAAAAATGGGCAAAAGATATGAATAAGCTATTTAATGGTCAATACAATTAAGAAAAGATGATTAATGCTACTCCTCATGAGGAGAAATGCAAAGTAAAACCACATCCTGATGGCAAAATTTAAGTCTGATAATACTGAGTGTGAGTGAGGATGTGGAACAAGGGGATCTTTCATAAACTTGGTACAAGCATGATAAAGAACAATTCTGAAATTTCAATTAAGGTTGAAAATGTGAATATCTTAAATTCCAGAAGTGTGTCTATAAGGTCGGAGACAGAAATAAGGATGTTTAATAAGGCCTTGCTTGTAATAGCACAATAGGTGAAAATAAATGAAATGTTTATCAACGAGAACAGATAAAAAGTTGTATATTCATATTACCAAATACTATAAGCAATTATAATGAACTTTGTATATGCAAGTTGCAAAAGCATTTGTATAGATTAAAAACATGAGGCCGGGCGCAGTGGCTCACACCTGTAATCCCAACACTTTAGGAGGCTGAGGTGGGTGGTCAGGAGATCGAGACCATCCTGGCCAACATGGTGAAACTCCGTCTCTACTAAAAATTCAAAAATTAGCTGGGTGTGGTGGCACAAACCTGTGATCCCAGCTACTTAGGAGGCTAAGGCAGGAGAATCGCTTGAACTGGGAAGGTTGAGATTTGAGCTGAGATCGTACCACTGCACTCAAGCCTGGCAACAGAGCGAGACTCTGTCTCAAAAAAACAAAAACAAAAACAAAAAAACACAAAAAACAATAGTATATGTTGCTCATATATTCATGCAGTAAAAGTCCAAAAAGTGTATGGGATTGATAAACACCATATACAGAAAAGAAGAAAAATGAGATTGAGAAGGACCTTCCACTCTATCCATATTTTCTTTTTATATGAATACAGAACTAACTAAGCATAGTAGCTTGTGCCTATAATTCTTTTTTTTTTTTTTTTTTTATTCAGATGGAGTCTCACTCTTTGTCCAGGCTGGAGTGCAGTGGTGTGATCTCTGTCACTGCAACCTCTGCCTCCCAGGTTCAAGTGATTCTCATACCTCAGCCACCTGAGTAGCTGGGATTATAGGCAAATGCCACCACACCCAGCTAATTTTTGTATTTTTAGTAGAGACGGGGTTTTACCATGTTGGCTAAGCTGGTCTCGAGCTCCTGAGCTCAAGTGATCCACTCGCCTTGACCTCCCAAAGTGCTGGAATTACAGGCCTGAGCCACCGCACCCAGCCTGTGCCTATAATTCAAACTACTTAGGAGGCTGAGGTGGGAGGATCACTTGAGGCCAGGAGGCAGAAACTAGCCTGGGCAACATATTGATACCCTGTCTCTACTAAAAAAAAAAAGAACAGAAAAGAGATCTAATAAAAATGTGATAAAATGTTAAGACATGAAAACTTATTAGTGAATATACTGGTATTTATATTAGCTTCTGCATTTTTTTTGTAGTTTGAAATATTTCATAATTTTTTAAACAATAAAGATGCTAGGGACCGGGTATGGTGGTTCACGCCTGTAATTCCAGCGCTTTGGGAAGCCAAGGCGGGAGGATCACTTGAAGTCAGGAGCTTGAGACCAGTCTGGCCAACATGGCGAAACCCCGTCTCTACTAAAAATGCAAAAATTAGCTGAGCGTTATTGTGAGCACCTGTAATCCCAGGTACTCGGAACGCTGAAGCAGAAGAATCACTTGAATCCGGGAGGTGGAGTTTGCAGCGATCCGAGATAGTACCACTGCACTCCAGCTTGGGTAACAGAGCAAGACTCCATCACAAACAAACAAATGATAAAGATTCTTGGTAATAGAAATTATAAAGCAAATTTTATTATTTAATGTTTAAAATAAAATAGAGTTTATCTCCCTCAGTCAAAGGCTCTGAGGGAAATTAGCCCTTGTGATTATGTTAGAAATTATTTTGAAATTTTGTTTTCACATAAATCCAGATTTTAAATATATGTTTTATTTAAAGCTGCTAAATATACACCAAACTTTAGGTTTGGTAAAAATTTTAGTAAAACTGTTATAGGGAAAAAGGTTTGGTATCTTATACAATAAACTTCCAGCTCAGTACAGTGGCAGGAGCCTGTAACCAGGAGGCTGAGGTGGGAGGATCACTTAAGCCCAGGAGTTTGAGACCAGCCAGGGCAAAATCGCAAGGCCCTTTCTCAAAAAAAGAAAAAAACAAATTCATTAATTAAAAACAATGAACTTCTTCTATCCAATCTAAACAAGTATTTTGACTGATTTCTAAGACTGTCTTCACAATTTAAGTAGCAGATTTGGGTAAATTATAATTCTATGATATGTAAATATCAATAATATATTTATCATATAAATTCCATTATTCTTTGACTTTCTAATCTTATATCCTAATGTGTTGAAAATAAGTGGCTGAAATTTGTTTCCCCTAGAGTCTACATATCAAGTTCTTTAGTGAAAAAATACTTAAAACATCTACTGGATTATAGATATATTTTATATTAACTAAAGATTTTGGAGTAATATTCATTCAAAAATTAATGTTTGGAAATGAACATACATTATATTTGAGATCACAACCATAGAAAGCAAACTGAATAAAACATATTTTCCAGAATTACATACATTACTTATTTTATTTACCCAAGTCCTAGAATTTAAGGCTAGAACTAACATTACAGTGGTAATTGCATTTGAAAGTACTGTATTAAAAGCATATGATATAGATACTTACTAAAAATAAACTTTCCAGTATTAAAAAGAAAATTTGACATAAGCACCCAATAAACTATCATTGCTCCAATGAGAGACACCAAGGAGAAAAGGAGACTTGACCACTGCCCAAAGGAGCCAAAATAATGTCTGCAGACATCTGGATATTCCCAGGTAGTGGTATCCAATGAAGCTAGATAAAATAAGAGAAAGAATAAAACTAAATGTTGATAATATATTCCATATTCATAATTTGTATTCCCCAAATAAACTCAACATATTTAGTGAAAGATTATAGGTATTCTACCACTAGACATTAGAATATATTATGAGATAATAAAATTAAAACATTATAGAAAAATAAAAAAAGAAATATAGATTAAAAAATAGTACAGGTAACCTGAGAAACAGATTACAGCATTGTAACATTTTATAATTAATAAAAGCAAGTGATAAACTAAGGTTAAACAAACGCATCAGTAAGGGGCAGAAAACATTACTTAATATTTGGCATATTCAGATAACAACATAGGGGAAAGTTTCTGGAGTTACACTTTCTACCACATGCCAATATAAATTTCAGAAAACTAAGTCAAATAGGCCAGGCACAGTGGCTCATGTCTGTAATCTCAGCACGTTGGGGGAACAACGCAGGCAGATCACTTGAGGTCAGGAGTTTGAGACCAGCCTGGCCAACATGGTGAAACCTTGTCTCTACCAAAAAATACAAAAAAATTAGTTGGCCACAGTGGCATGTGCCTGTAGTCCCAGCTACTCTAGAGGCTGAGGCACAAGAATCTTTTGAATCTGGGAGGCAGAAGTTGCAGTGAGCTGAGATGGCGCCACTGCACTCCAGCCTGGATGACAGAGTGAGACTCTCTCTCAAAACAAAAACAAAAATAGAACAAAGTTAAAAAAGTTAGAAAACATAATGTAGAAATTGAACATGAAAGGTTATCCTCTTCTAGCAACTGAAGAAACAAATTACAATGGAAAAGACAAACAGGGCTGGGCATGGTGGCTCAGGTCTGTAATCCCAGCATTTTGGGGGGCTGAGGTGGGCAGGCTGCTTGAGCCTAGGAGTTGAGACGAGCCTGGGCAACATGGCGAAATCCCATCTTCACAAAAATATTCAAAAATTAGCTGGGCGTGGTGGTGCGTACCTGCAGTTCCAGCTACTTAGGAGCCTGAGGTGGGAGGGTCCCCTGAGCCCGGGAGGTTGCAGCTGCAGTGACCCATGATCCCACCACTGCACTAAAAAGGAAGTAATTTAAAAGAATACAGGAAGCATATATAAAATATTTTTAGAAGAATATTCTTTAGAGTGCCAAAAATAAGCAACGACTTTAATATACAACATAGGGCAATGATTAAGCAAATACAATGGAGCTGCCGCATGCAACTGTATACAATCATTTTGTAGAGACAAAAATGGTGATTGTAGAAACATAAAATATACTAAAAAATGGTGATAAAGTGGAAGACAACTAAAATACAATATGAACAACTTTATGAAATATGTATTTAGACATTCCTATCATTTAGAATAGAAATTTACATAAGAAAACAAAAAACTAGAAAACATTTGCTTTTCTATGATAGAGTTATTGTATTAACAATATAAACTTTTTATTTTACATTTCAATTGTTCAAGGAAGAATACAGATAAGTAAGTATAACCTATGAAAGAGTATTTCAATTGTCATCAAAGGATAATTTTACAGTCTTTTTTCCTTTATAATCCCATGCTTTGAACTACTTTGAGGTAATTGTTAGGTTTGATGAATATAGAAAAACTGAAGTTCTGCTATCTTTGAAGCAAAATATGGCAGCTAGTACATGGCAGAAAGCAGTGATAAGTCTGAAAAATTGAGGACAATAGAATATGATAATTCATGTCTAGATAAAGAATGTGAAAACAACATCACTATCAAGAATAACTGTTTTGGCTGGGCATGGTGGTTCATGCCTATAACCCCAGCACTTTGGGAGGATAAGGCAGGCAGACCAACTTGACGTCAGGAGTTCAAGATCAGCTTCGCCAACATGGCGAAACACCATCTCTACAAAAAATACCAAAATTATCCAGGTGGGTGGTAGTCTCCTGTAATCCCAGCTACTCAGGAGGCTGACGCATGAGAATCGTTTGGACCCAGGAGGAGGAGGTTGCAGTCAGCTGAGTGACTCTTAGCATTTCTAATAAAATTATCTTTTGGCTGATAATAATAATTCTAAGTCTTTTCTAGTTTTTATATTATTTAGGGTTTTTTGTTGCATTTGATAATATCTCCAAAAATTGATTAATTATTAACATTTCTATGTTTTCTTGACTTTAATGAAAACTGCTTTAGCATTTCATAATTTTAGAATGGTGCTGGTACTGTCTGGGAATAAATAGACTTTGTTATTTCTAAGTAGTGCTTTTCACTTAAGAGTCTTAATCAGAAACAGGTGCTGAATTTATTAAGTGCCCTTTTTATATCTATTGATGTAATTATGAATTTTCCTTTGTTAATGTAGTGAATTATGTTGAATTTCTTAAAAATGAAACATCCTTGCATTACTGGAATAAACTTTATCTTAGACACAGGATATTCTTTTGATACACTGTTGGATTCTATATGATAATGTTTCACAAATAAATTTTACATCTATATTTTCTTTATTTTTGGTGGCGTCAGGCTTTGTGTTAGGCGTGTGTAGACTTTGCAAAATGAATTGGTGGAAGTTCTTCTTTTTCTTCTTTTTATTTTATTTTATTTGAGACAGAGTTTCACTCCATCACCCAGACTGAAGTGTAGTGGCAGAATCTTGGCTCACTGCAACCTCCACTTTCTGTGTTCAAACAATTCTCGTGCCTCAGCTTCTCGAGTACTTCTTTTTAAATAGTGTGGAACAGTTGAATAATGTGGGAGTTAACAGTTAGCCTATTATCCCAGCATTTTGGGAGGCTGAGGTGAGCATATCACTTGAGCCAAGGAGTTCGAGACCAACCTGAGCAACATGATGAAACCCTATCTCTATGAAAAATACAAAAAAATTAACTGGGCATGATGGTGTGCACCTGTAGTGGGAGAATCACCTGAGCCTGGGAGGTTGAGGCAGCAGTGAGCCATGATAGCATTCCAGCCTGGGTAACAGAGTGAGACCTTGTCTCAAAAAAAAAAAAAAAAAAAAAAAAAAAAGAAAAAGAAAAAAAGAGAAAAGAAAAGAACAGTTACTGAGAGAACTCAGTGGGGGCTCTGCTCCCATTTTAAAAGAGATGCTGAATTAGATAATATATGAACTTACTGTATATGTTTAAAGAAGTCTTCCAAGTTCAGCCACAATTTGCCTTAGAAACTAGAGGCTAAAATGATCTCCTCTTACCATGTAGAAACCAGAACAAATCTTCTCTCAAGACTTTTTTATTCCTTTTTTTTTTAAAGATGGAATATTGCTATGTTGCCAAGGCTAGCCTCAAACTCCTGGACTAAAGCTGTCTTCCCACCTAAGCCTCCTGCATTGCTGGGACTGTAGGCACACACCACCAGGTCTGGTTTCTCAAGACTTTTAAATAAATACTCGCCCAGTGACTAACACTAGATCTGGTTAACATAAAGAAGGAAGCTGCTTAGTAGGCACAGAAAAAACCTGGAGGCAAAGCCTGGTCTGTTGATTCATACTTGCTAAGATTTAATGAAATAATGCATGTTTGTTTAGGTCCTAAACTACTTTAAAACAACCTAAAAAAGATTTTCCCTAATCCAGAATTTGTAGAGATGAATAGAGGTAAAGTGTTCATACAACTTCAAATATTCATTACTACAGAGTTGCTTACATTTTATTTTTCTAGTTATAATTTCTACTTTTAAGAAATTCTAAGATTTAGGTCTTTTGACATGAATAGGTCAAAACAAGTCACCATTAAATGTTAGAAAGCATAGAATTCTCAATTTAGTTCTGGCAATGACATTATTTTATAAATATGAGTTTCTTTTTCTTTCTTTTTTTTTTTTTTTTTAAGACGGGGTTTCACCATGTTGGTCAGGCTGGTCTTGAACTCCTGACCTCAGGTGATCCGCCCACCTTGGCCTCCAAAGTGCTTGGATTACAGGCATGAGCCACCATACCCAGCCATAAATATGAGTTTCTAAATGATTCTTATGAAGAAACTAGCACCAAAGTGAATAAACTCTGCAAATAACCCTTAGCTTCTCTGAATTTCAAAGGCAGCCACTAATATATTAACAAATTAATTCAGCTGAAAACAATGAATTAGAGAAATAAATCTTTAGGTACAAAGTAGACAGTTGACATATATGTGGCATATACACACTAGTGATCTGCCTCAAAGGGTAATGCTTATTAATACCCATAATCTATTGTCACTGTGTCAAATTCTTACATATCATAGTCCGTGATTTCACTACTCTGTAGCAGCAATAAAGTGTTAAAAGGCCCATCAGTATGATGACACACATTCCAGTAGTAAATCCAGCCTGTTTAAAAATAAAAGTATAAAAGAGCATATATCATCATGTAAGCATAAATTCATATGCAATTATTTTACCCTAAATAATCATGATAAAAACTTGACAACTCATGAAAAACTAAATATAACCATCTTTTTTTTAATGAATTTCATGTAGATTTATTAAAACCTCTGTTATAAAACTTGCAATATAAAGAGAAAAACATTTAGGCAAAAAGTGTGCTGAAAAATTATATTACCTGTTTTATGCCCCAAGGAATACTTAGTATAGATGTTCCCATCATGGTATTCCAAATCATAAAACTGAAAACACAGAGTAATAGCAGTAAAAAAATGGAGTTTGGCTCTTCAAACATTTTAATTGAGACAAAAATTAAAATAATAAGTAATTTTCATTCATATACAGTTTAAGTCATGCTCCAAAAAGCCGTTTCACTCACATGGTTACTAAACTGGTGTTTTTACCGTATCCTTCAGTGTAACTTTGAAGTTTATAAGCAGAGCCCAATGGACTATACACATAGCACTCTTCTGGAGCTGGAACTACATGGTCTGGGGCAATCTGGTAAAAAAAGAAACACAGAGAAATAGAGAAATGTCAGAACCAGGAAATGCAAAATAAGATATTTTCTACACATTAGAACACCTGACTCGATACATTTTAAATGTCATAAACAAGTACTATGCATTCCTGATCAGTGAATTTAAAAATTCTTTTTCAAATATGAAAAATCTAACTAAAGCAAGAATTTAAAAATCCAAAATAATTTTGGGATTTTCAGAAAATGAGTGTGGATGTATACACACATTCATTAAGAATGGTTATATCACTGTTAATTTTACATCACTGTTTATACACTCTGACTTGCTAGACTCATCTCAGTGTCAGTTAACAAAAGGCATTCAACTTTGGTACATGCTGACTCTATTTCCAGGCAAACAATATATATTCAGGTATAAACATGCTCAGCTGGGAACTTGGAGATTTGCTTCCAAGAGCCCAGAGCATCTGGAAGGTCTGAACTAGATCCAGAGATACTGGGTTACCTCTACTCCTCCAAGGGCTTAAATAATTCCATTATGGAACTAAGACTTTACCCCAACTACTGATGTCAAGGCCTAAGGGAAAAAAAGCCAAAAAAATTGGGAAAAAAATTACCCCATCCAGAACATTTTGGAAATCCCTACTTTGGTCATATAAGAGGAGATGTTAATATTTATTTCACGTGACTATTGTTTAAGGCTTAAATGAGATCGCTACATTCCAGTGATGCCCAATCACTGGTCCTTATTAAATGTTAATGAATGTTGGTTCCCTTCTGTCTTTTTATTAATAATACTAATTTCAAAATCCTATTTTCTCCCAGAATGTTCTCATTTTCAGTTAAACTTGCAAGTTTCTGAATATCTCATCTGTGGTAGTTTTTACAAACTATCAAATTACTTACATATTTTTTATCCTAAAATAGTAATAGAAATTTTTAGAAGATCAAGGGTCAACAAACTCTGGCCCATAGGCCAAATCTGGCTTCAAATTGATTAAAAGAATAATGCTAAATAAGAAACTATTATATTTATTTATGTGTATATTTCAGTTTCCCTTTTTTTTTTTTTAAGAAATGGGGTCACATTCTCTTGCTCAGGGTGGAATACAGTGGCACAATCACAGCTCACTGCATCCTCAAGGGATCCATCCTGGGCGCCAGGGATCTCCTATCTCAGTCTCCCAAGTAGCTGGAATTATAAGGTTGAGCCATCATGCTCAGCTAATTAAAAAAAATTGTTTTTGTAGAGACAGGGTTTCACCATCTTGCCCAGGCTGGTCTTGAACTCCTGGGCTCAAGTGATCCTCTCTGCTTGGCCTCCCAAAATGCTGAGATTATAGGTATGAGTCGCTGTGTTCAGCCAGTTTCCCATTCTTGCAGAAAATTTCTAAAAAACATTTCCCTTATAGCTTCAAAGTTAAAAATTGACCACACTAAGCAGAACCTGTTATTATTTGCTATTAGTCAATGGCCTAACCTGCCACTTCAAAAGTAATTTATCCTCCTCAGAGATTTGGGGAATGGAGAACAGCAGAATTTAATCCAAAACAATCTCCAGGTTATTGTCAACATAGAAAGATTGTTTGAAATTTAGATAAGAATGACCTAGCCTGGGATGTAGGATGTGTACTAATTACTGTCTTTGACTTTGCATGAATCGTCCTTGAAATACAGTCAGAAAAAAGTTCAATTGCTGGGAGGTGCCCTGGCTTGTACTGTTCAGTGTTCATTTCAACTGAATTTTAGATGATAAGTAATGCTTTGTCTCTTACCAGTGCCTTGTCTGCAGGAGTGGTGAGCCGGCTATAGTAATGAATTCTCTTGTTCATGGCGGAGGCATGGTCGCTAACCCTCTGAATGACATGATTCACATTGACGATGTTTGTGGGCTCTATATAGAAAGGCCTAGAGAAGGGAATACACACTTGACAAAAAGTGTTCAGCCAAAAATTCTGAAAGTCGGCCTTTGAAGAAAATAACTTTTTGTCCTCCATTCGTAATGGGATGCACAAAGGCAAGGCATTCACTTCTCACTTTTGGTGCAAAAAGAAAACGTCACAAAAGAAGTATTATCCTATTCACAGAATAAAGCTTTTGTCTCGTAACACTTTTACTTTAAGCAACTTAGCAACAGAGAAGACATAACAGAAAGAACTTAAAACAGTTATTAAAAAGAAATATAGCAGCTATCAGTTTCCAACAAGGAAACTTAAGACAGCTTTGAATAGTCTCTCAAAAAAACTTTTGGCACTAAATCAGAGAAATTATGGACTAAAATGTCCCTCTCTTGAGGGGTCTGTACTCCTTCCTTATGGGCCAAATTTACTTCCTATGATAAACAGAATTCTTATTCCTTGGTTCATGTATTAAGGATTAGTGACCTCAACCATCAGATCCCTTATGAGACTTATCCAAATCAGTATCAAATGGAACATCAGGACAATAGAGATACTTTGCCTCATTCTACTTTTTGCAAATTTTAGTAACATACCCTATTATTTATATATATGCTTCCTTTCCACGACTGTGTCCTAATCAACTGCAGATTTTGGTGTTGAGTCATCCTTTTCAGTCATCAACCTCTTCAGTTTCTTTCTGAAACTGCCTCATTTTCTTCTTAAGTTTCCAGTAACACATTATCAAAAATACAAAGACCAGGCAGAGTTGTATGAAGACTGTATTCCTCTGCTGATTCTTAAACTCCTTGGAGTTATAAGTGACACCATGCCCCAAACTGTATATAATTTGCCATTTTAGGCACAGATCCAAACAAATAAGAAAAAAAAATCCAGATTTATCATCAGTTTCACCTATCTCTTCTATACTTATGGTTCTGAAAGAAACTTAAAATATATTAATGTATGGTAATCATTTCTGGAGACACTGTTAATCTAATCTAATCCTCCCCTCTTTTTTTGAGACGGAGTATTGCTCTGTTGCTCAGGCTGGAGTGCAGTGGCACAATCTCGGCTTACTGCAACCTCCACCTCCCAGGTTCAAGGGATTTTCTGGCCTCAGCCTCCCGAGTAGCACCACCACACGTAGCTAATTTTTGGATTTTTAGTAGAGACGAGGTTTCACCATGTTGGCCAGGCTGGTCTCCAACTCCTGACCTCAGGTGATCTTGCCTGCCTTGGCCTCCCAAAGTGCTAGGATTATAGGCATGAGCCAACGCACCCGGCCATTAATCTAATCTTGTGGGAAGTGCTTGATAAACCAAGTGACTGAACATTTCTGCTATTTTTCTTACAAATTCTGTGATATTTGATAAACGGTAGCAGAGGTGTTAAACAATTTTATCTCTGTAGCTATCATACAGAATCCTTGAATCTTTTATCATTTGTTATCTACTGCAACACCTAACTATGCTGGGTACTATATAGGTCAACACAATGAATATGTAAATAGAGCACATACAGAGCAAATACGTGGATATAGGGATTAACATGACATATCACATATACTAGTGCTGTGGTTTGAATGTGTCCCCCAAAGTTTACGTGTTGGAAGAAAATCTGCAATGCAACAGTACCAACAGTGGGAACTTCAAGGGGCGATTAGGTGATTAGAGCTCTGAGGTTCACAAATAGATTAATGACATTATCTCAGGAATGGGTTAATATCATGGGAGTGGGTTCCTGGTAAAAGAATGAGTTCAGTGTGAAGAGTAGACTATGTGGAAAAAAAAAAAAAAAAAAGAATGAGTTCAGTTCCCTTCCTTTCCCTCACCCTCTCTCATATACTCTTTCGCCCTTCCACTATGCAGTAATAAGCAAGAAATCCCTTCCTAGATGTGGGCCGTTTGACTTCCCAGTCTCCAGAACTATAAGAAATCAGTCTCTCTTCTTTTAAAATTATCCAGTCTCAGGTATTCTGTTACAGCATTATAAAATGAACCAAGACACTAAGCATATTATTGTTAAGTGAATTAAGTGGTGTCAATACATTTCAAGAGGATATAATGAAAATGAATGGGTCAGAAGCTGAAAAAGCAATCCCTACTTTTAAATTTGGTAGTCTGCTATAACTACCAATGATCCCAAAGCATTATAATGTCCCCTATAATTTACATCTCTACTATGACACTCAGTGGTACTAAAAAGCAACATAAAAATATATCTGGCAGATGGCTTAATTATACCTGGGGTCACACTCTATAGCGCATTTTCTTCTTGCTTTGCAAGAATGATGCCCTCCAACATTCAAGAAAGAATCACAACTTTAATGCCAACATAAGGCAAAGACTGAAGCTAGTCATGGATTACCAAAAGAGACTAGTAAGTATGATTCTGATAGAAAGAGATGTAGGTGCTCAACGTGTAGCCTTTTACTTTAAAAATTCAATGGTATTAGTTCCAACCACTAAGTTGGTTTGAGTCCTGCTTGCTGAAAAGCAGTCAGGAAGTGCTAGATTTCTTGGCTCCTGGTTTCTTACAGAAGTGTTAACCGTACCAGTTTAGTTGGCTTGACTACTCTGAGGGCAGAATGACTCTGAAAGTTTTTCTTTTCCAACAGTTTTCATCGAGATGCTGAGTGCCTGTTCAAATAAATATTCTGGAATCTTTTCAAAACAGATTCTCTTCAAAAAATATACAACTCAGCATATTTAATTGAATTATTAGAAACATATGCTTAAAGCTTCATTTGAGAGAGAAAAAATATAAATTATATTTTTAATTGAAGTTTAGTTGGATCTGAAAACACTTTTAAAATTAAACACTACTACACAGAGAACAATATTCAGAATAAGAATTTTGAAACTTGGGTTTTCTTTTTTGAACATAGTTTCACATGACTGCTCCCTATCAATGTTACTTCTCATTTGAAATGTAGTTCAGCTGTGCCACACTGAAAATAAGTTACATTTGTCTTACCTTATAAATATTTATGGTCATGCCACAGAAAAAATGCTTTTAATATTAAGCAAAATTTATAAAATATTTTAAAATGTGAGTCAAACCTCATATTTTCATTTAATACACTTATAAACAGAGAAACTTTATTTCTATCTAACACTTTTTCTAGGTTCCACTCCTTCAATTCCTTAAAAATTTTTGGCTTATACGTCTGTCTCCACCCTACTGACCAGTTATGCTTCTCTGAAATTTAATAAAATGCCATCACTATTAAGAAGGTCTGTACCCCAAATGAGGTGCAAAACCAGGTACAACTGAATTCAGTATTTAGGGATATACAGACGATAAAACTGTTACAAAGCATAGGGAAATTATTATACAAAAGTCAAGATAGTGGTCATCCCTAGGAAGGGTGGGTGATGTGTTTGGTGAAGGACACATGGGGAACTTTTAAGATGCTGTTGTCTTGACCTTATGCTGCTTGGATGGGTGTTGGCTCCCTCCCTCCTTTCATCCCTCTCTCCCTCTTTTCCTTCTTTCCTTCTCTCTTCTCTCTTTCTTTCTCTCTCTCCTCTCTTTCTTTTCTTTCTTTTTTGAGATAGGGTTTTACTCTATCGCCTAGGCTGGAGTGCAGTGACATGAACATGGCTTATTGCAGCCTCAACTACCTGGGCTCAAGTGAATTTTCCTGCCTTAGCCTCAGCCTCCCAAGCAGCTGGGACCACAGGTGCACAGCACCATGCCTAGCTAATTAAAAAAAATTTTTTGTAGAGACAGGGTCTTGCCACATTGCCCAGGCTGGTCTCAAGCTTCTGGCTCAAGCAATCCTCTTGTCTTGGCCTCGCAACGTGTTGGGATTACAGGCGTAAGTCACCATACCTGGCCTATAAATATTTCTTAAAGTGTACATATACAATGCACTTTTTCGTACATGGGATATATCAAAGACAAGCCTTTAAAAATTGATTTTAAGTAGATACATCCTTTTAAAATTTAGCAGTGAGATTGAGATAGACTCAAAAATCTTTTGTATCATACAGAAATGTATTGGTTATGTTGTGGCAAACTTAAACGAGTTACCTATTTTTCTTCTACAAGATACAACTGCTCCAAATTTGATCACTTCTTCTATGATAACACATAGCTATCAATAGTATGCTACATAGGTACACAACAGATATTAGAAACAACCCCCCCCAAAACATATTTATCTCCCTTCAAGATAAAGATGGTATTTTAATAGTCTGAGAGAGTAGTTGCTTTTTTAAAGAAACATGTTACACAAAGAACATTCTGATAGTGGATGTTTAGAAATGTTTCCATTGTTAGATGGTTTTATTGCTGAACATGTCTGTTACCAACAAAAACTCATATCTATCTGTAATTTCATACACATGGAATCAAAATTTTCTAAGATTTAAAAACTTCCAAATGAAGAATTTAAATGATCTTTGAACCTGCCATTAAACATGACAGAAAAATCAAAGTAATAATTATAATTCTAAAGCAAACTGCACTACCAGTATCTTGGTATTTACTTCCTATAATGCAAGTATTAATACTAATATTTTAATTGAAAAGTGTGCAGAGGTATAACAATGTTTAGAAATCATGAAATTAAATACTCAACATATTTCAAATGTGGAAATTTACAAACATTATAAAGTATCAAATAAAATATTAATTTATAAAAACGAACATTAAAAAATAAACATTAAACAGTTGTAATTCTAACATAAAGTACTCAGTATGACTGTATGCAATGCTGTTTTATTCTTTGTATCCTTCTACCCAGTGTGCCTTTCAAAATGACAACTCTCAAGTAATCTGTTCATAAAGACTTCAGGACCTTCCTAAAATGTTTAATACTCTTCCAGTGGAGCTTTCAGACTAGCTAGGCAGCTCCTCCACTCTGGCCAGAAGCTACTGAATTATAGGTCTTTGTTTGTTTGTTTGTTTTGAGATAGGGTCTCACTTTGTTGCCCAGGCTAGAGTACAGTGGTGCACTGATAGCTCGAAGCAGGCTTAAACTCCTGGGCTCAAGTGATC